GATAAAAAGTGACTGAACTTACTCTGTCCAATCTTTTTGCTTCAATGTGTCTGAGAAGCTGTTGCCTCCAGTCCACCGGCATTTTTGAGGAGCTCTCATCTCCTTTCACGGGTATAGGGCGCATTTTCAATTCACTTTCTGCGTTCTTCTCTGTACAGGAGCTGATGTTGTAGTCAGAGGGCACCTTCTCCAGCAGAGCAGCCATGGTGGGCCGAGCAGATACAGGCCGGGCTTGAGAGGCTCCGTAGCTCTCCGTGCTATAACTTCTGGCTGACAGCGGCCGTCTCTGAGTCAAGTTCTTGGCTGGGAAACCTGTGGCAGACTTTTTTGGCTCCTGATATGAAGAGTACTCATCCTCATACCTACCATTCCTTTTGTGGAACTGGGACTCAACCATGGTGGACAAGCTGTTCTGGTGCTCCAGCATACCTTTGAAATGTGTCCTATTGTACCGGTCAGTGAGTGGGAGCTCCTGAGCTTCGGCCACCCTCCGGAAGAGGGCCATCTCTGTGGAGCTGACAAGAGAATCTGCCCTCCTGAGGAAGCGGGACCTCTGACTGGGGAACTGCTGACCGATGACATCCTCGTTGACCGACGGCTGGGAGAAGGAAAACATATGCTCCATGGGTGGATATCCCCGGTAACCCCTTGGACTCACCAACTCCTTGGGAATGTTTTTGTTCTGCTGGCTCATGTACTCCGGGTTGTTGGGAAAAGGAGGAGGGATTCTCCTCTCAGGCTTCACCACCTCCACAGCGCCCTGAGGGTTGAAGCTTTGGTCGAAGTGATACACCTTTTTGGGAATCACAGGTTTCTGCTGCTGGGAGCCCTTCCCAGTGCCATAGCCATCCAGGTCATCATCTAGCATGGGAGCTGACTGGCTGCGAGACATGCTCTGCTCCGGTGGCGGTGGAAGCTCCTGTTTGTCCATACTGCCTTGGTTTTCCATGCTAGAGCTATAGTTTTCCAGAGGGATGCTGTAAACCTTGTAGGAGCCGATATCGATCTCATCAATGCTCTGTGACTTCTTGAACTTGGCCTTAACTTCCTTCATCATGGGGGACAGCCGCTCTGTGCTTTTGCTAATGACAATGGCACCCTTTGCGGGGTCCTGTCGGCAGTGGATGTGCGTAAAGACATTGGAGGAGGAGTTTCGTGCTGTTCCCGAATCTCTGGAATCAAGGAAACCCCATGCTCCAGTGGAGGGAAAAGTGCCTGGCAACTCGCTCATCTCTTGCTCAAAATCCTTCCGGTCTGGGGCTGGGCTGCTGGCAGGGGTGATCTCTAACTTGGAAGGGAAAGCAGTCCTGTCTTCAAAGGGGCTAGGGGTCCTTGTCCAGTTTTGCCAAGGGTTAGGAGGAGGCACTTCAGTTTCAGGTGTATTCCGCACACTGTGAAATGTGTGGGAGGAGGGCTGCTCTAACTCCAAGGGGACACCCACTATCCTCTCCTGTCTCAATAGAGGTCTGCGTCCGTGAGTGGACACACTCCTGGTTTTGGAGCCAAGCATGGGGTTAGTGCTGGGGTTCTCTATGGGCTGCTCCTCAGCTACAAAGCCTGTGTTATCATAATGGGTGCTGTCGTTCCAGCTGTCAAAGGTGTCACTCAAGGCGTGCCTTTCGTTCCGCTGCTGCAACGTGCTAGAAGGAGGAGTATCCCTCTGGCTCAGCAAAGGCTTGGTTTCAATGGGTTGAGGAAATGACTGAGCAAGCCTACAAAGAAAAGCAAGTGAACTTGAAAACATGCTTCTGAAGACATACTTACAAGAAAGAAACAGCACAAAAATAGGCCTCCCAGATTAATTTGTGTCTCCAAAATTACCCCTTTACCCATAGATGCCTTTAATTGAATGTACTGTATGTGTGTGTGAGTATCCTTCATAGGGCAGGTGTCATATATATGATGTCGTACAACTCTGTCCCTGTGTCTGTCAGGTTAGGCTGTGGGCTCCCCACTACCCTCTTAGGGTTATAAAGTTACTTGAGATTGATGGTGATATTAAAGGAAAAGACTAACTAATCCTAGTTACAGCTTTAATTTGTTTCTGGTTTATTTCTCAAGCTATTTAAACTTTGTTTTTAACAATGTTAACCTTTTGTACAAAACCATTTTTGATTAGCCACCTATTAATTTAGATACGACACCTAAATAATACTTAGCTGTTTTTACTACAGGGCTATGCATTTCATCAGTCTGTTTTTTATTGTTATGTTTGTCTGATGGAAACTTCTTTAAAGTGTCTGTGGAGGATTGCCGTGACAAGATAGCTCCTTTTTCACCTGACATCATTAAGCTTAATAAACTTGTTCCCTGTATATTTCTAATTTCTTCAAAATTATTTGAAAGAAATCAAACTAACTCTAAAAACATTCAAGACAGTCTTTGGGTAAGAGCTATAGTCTCATAAGTCAACCAGAACTCTCACAAAAGGAAGAAAAATAACTACAGTACATCATTTTTAAAGCTGTGCTGGCGGAACTGATGTTGAATTTGAATCAAGACATCTGCACCTATTTGACCTTCACTTTTCAAGCGCCCCACTGAGGAATGAGACTTTTACTTTCTTCAGAACATTCTCTTTTGTGTCAGACACATGCTAATGTATGTTAATGAAGGATTAAGCAGCAGTTTCTTGACACAGCCGTGTTTGACAGCTGGTTGTCGACTTCAAGAGTGGAATATTGTCAATTTTTGCAAAAGGAAAGATGAATTCATGATCAAAGAAGGGAGGAGCCACCAGTTTTAAAGAAGTACTTTAAAATTATTATAATAGCACTGATCTGTTATAGCCATATTAACCATTGCTAACATTGATGTACAATCAGACTCACCTGGTGAGTTTGCATTTGTACTGTTCGGCTAGGAAATCCATACATGCTGCCCCCGGATGGGGTGTTTACACTTGAATGACACAGTAGGTTATATTCTGCCACAAGGGAGTCTGAGCATGTACGCTGCATAATCTAATGGCTTTTACATTATGCTATAGAGCTGCTACTGCGGTTTCACATGATGACATCACTGAGAACCGTAAACAAGCTTGTCAAACTTTAAATTTAACACAAAGCCAATATATGTTCTTATTTGGACACCCTTTATAACTTACGAACCAAAAATGAACTATGGGTGGTTGTAATCAATACAAATACAAAAAACAGTGCCACCTGGGAATTTTCTCTATATTACAGTATGTTCTTTTACTAACATTTACACAAACAAATGCTTGAGATGTCCTACCATATTCCCGAGCTTTTGAGAGACTGAAAAGACATATCCTGGAAAGTAACTGATACTTTTTCCACTACAAGATACATTACAGAATATCATCTTGTCCTTTTTAAAGAAGGACTAAAGAGGATCACAAAGTATGACCCTTGACTTATACAGCTGTGTAATGACAAAATATACAAGATATTGGTTACATAATCAAAGCAGCACTAAGGGATAACATGCTTTTGTCCTGTTCTCTTACACTGTAATTGCCTTAAAGAACATCAGAACAGCTCTCATGCACTACATTAAAACATTCACTTTATCTGCAGTTAAAATAGTCTAAAAGATTTGGTTAATTATTTAATGGAAAACCCAAAGTGAGCCTCTTAAGCAGGTGACCAAGTGTTGCCCTGATTTCCCTTAAAAATGTTTTTAATTTTGGCTGCTCCTCGGATTCTCAGGCTGTTATCAGAGCAAATTTATTTCAGTGGACGGCAAAGCCTCCAGAGACCTGCTGCCTGACCTGATGCCTAAAAAGCTGACCTGTTAGTCCAATGAGAGGGAGGGGCCCCATCCTTGGTGACAGGCTGCAGGGTCCCAACATTGCCAGGGGGGTTGGAGGAGCCCGATGAGCCTTGGGAGGGAGAGTAGTCCGAGTAGGTTGCAGAGGAGCCGCTGTTGTTCAGGCAGTGCATTTTATCTGCATCAGATTCATCAGTGGACTCTGGGAAAAAAAGGTGAATCGTAATGAGAGCACATAGGAAAGAGAAAGAATAGTAATTGTTAGTAAAATAAACCCCAATGTGTTATCCTCTCCTTAATCCAGCAGCCATATCACCCTACAACCCACAACTGGCAACCCACTGAAGCTAAGCAGGTGTGAGCCTGGTCCGTACCTGGATGGGAGACCTCCTGGGAAAACCTAAGGTTGCTGCTGGAAGAGGTGTAAGTGGGGCCAGCAGGGGGTGCTCACCCTGCAGTCCATGTGGGTCCTTATTCCCCAGTATAGTGATGGGGACACTATACTGTAAACAGGCATCATCCTTCGGATGAGACGTAAAACAGAATTCCTGACTCTCTGTGGTCATTAAAAAACCCAGGGCGCTTCTCGAAAAGAGTAGGGGTGTAACCCCGGTGTCCTGGCCAAATTTCCAATTGGCCCTTACCAAGCATGGCCTCCTAATAATCCCCATCTATGAATTGGCTTCATTACTCTGCTCTCCTCCCCACTGATAGCTGATGTGTGGTGAGCGTTCTGGCGCACTATGGCTGCCGTCACATCATCCAGGTGGATGCTGCACATTGGTGGTGGTGGAGGGGAGTCCTCATTACCTGTAAAGCGCTTCGAGTGGAGTGTCCAGAAAAGCGCTATATAAGTGTAAGCAATTATTATTATTGGGATATGCGTTTGTACTTCAGTTCTTTCAGAATCCATTATGGACGCTTGTTGTATGTTTTCTGTAAGTTTTAAAAATGATCCCGGTACGAAATGAAGAAAAGTAAATAAAATAAAAGTGTGTGTGAGGATGCATTTTTTCTTCTAGCATACAGGTCTTTATTTGGTATTTCTTGAGAAAACTAACTTGTTAAACATCACTTTTGTTTTAAATTTTAAGACCCCTATGGGTCCCAAGATCATAATTAGGGTGTTTAGGTAATAGTAAGTATGTTAACATTTGGCATATTTTTATTTATTGGTAATTTATGATTGACTGTGATACACTTATGGAACTTTGACTATTACATAAGCACTAAATCACCTTAATATCGAAATGAAAATCAAGAACAAAAACTTAAGAAAAGAACGAATCTACCCTGCTTATGAACATAACAACTGCCTTGTGCTATTGGTATGTTGGAGGCTGGATTAATTCAGAGCAGTGCCCACTGATTAGAGTGTTCATAAGAATTTACAGCTAAACACGGTTTGTCAATGATAGTCTGGGAGACTATAAGTGATGACTTAGGAGGTCAGAAGGTGATGGTTTGGGCAGGAGTGTCTAGTTACAACATATGTCCACTTACAGTGATAGATAGAAATTGACTATATAGTGTTACATTGATCATGGCCTGCGATTTTAGTTACTGCCCTTCCTGAGGGCTTATGCTTATAAGACAACATTATAGCAGAGCAACAACAGTTTTTGTGTGAGATAGGAATATCACCGTTATGCTGTGGACTCCTATGGCTTGAGCCCATGTAGACGTTTGTGGATTGAGCTGAGGTGATGTGTTCACTTGATGTGTTTCTTTCATTGAGAACGCTTTCTTTTCTAAACAGATTGGTTTTGAAAAGTTTAAAAACCAATGGAATTGTATTAAATAATCTGGGGACCCGGACAAGTAATAGTATCTAATATATAGTTTATATAAACTGCTTATACTGTTCAAGTAATATCAAATGTCTTTTTAATTCTTATATTTCTTATTTTGGCACATAAAAAAATACAAAGGAACAAAACAGTCATACTCAATCATTTCAATATAAAAACTGGATATCAGGTCTCCTAAATGCACTTCTTTTTAAAGTCACCATGGGACTCCATAATCCTTGAGTTGAGGATGGATTTTTCCACATGCCTCTAAATTGAAAGTAACCCATGCATAATTATTTTTTCAATATACAGTAGCTAGGATTAATATCTATATGCAAGATCGCAAATGTTTGATGATTGCAGATGTGTTTTTTTTAATTACCAGAAGATAAATATCCCTCTTACAGCTTTCAGAAATAACAATACCAACCTGAAAAACATAATCCCTATTCGGACATCATGTTTATATAGAAGAGAATGAGTAAATTGTCTACTTACAATAGTTACCTACTGTAGTTCACTGCAAAGTTGGAAGTTTTTTGCCTACCTTTCTTGTCTTTCCCGATCAGTACAACTTTTGGCTTGTACAATGCAGGCTCCACCAAAGTGGGGCGCATGTCAGAAATCCGTATGTCATTTGGGGAACCTCCTAAGGAATCCTGAAATAAATAAATTAGTTTTTTTTTTTATCTGAGCAGTTTTCACACAGAAAGAATGCAGGAGACAAACCTTTCAATAAACTCAAAAGAAGAGTTCTCTTAAAAAACACCACGTGAGCATTTCCATTCTACAATTTTTTTGGCTTAATCAATGACTTATTTGATTACAAAATACATTTTCAACTCAACTGTCTTTTGAAAAAGGATAGATATTGTTATAATTTACAGGTGTTGTATTTTCTCTTTATCTAGAAAGAACATTCTGCAAAAATATTCATTCTTCCATATGTGCTTAATCCATCAACATATTACATTTCAGGTTATTTTATATTGCCCTGATTTTGAGTAATTTCCACAAAGATGAAACAACTGCAACATCATTCCCACTCAGAGTTGTAAAAGATTTTGATTTGGGGATTTGATTCAATTTAGTCTTTCATTTTTTTACAAATGTAGATGAAGCCATTTTTATGCAGCACATGTACCCACAAGTATATTCCGTTTTGTGAATACTACAGTAATATTCAGTTTTGGGATCTGTAGATTCCAATTTTGAGGAGGACAAAACAGGGGCCTCACAATTTTCATAAACTTTTATTTTGTTTGCAGCAGTAAAAAAAAATGGAATCTAATACCTGTATATACCTAATACTCTCTTCACCACTTTCATGTATTTCTGTTACCATTTGAAACTCTCAGCACAATTTAAATCTATTTTCACTCTTGTTATGCACATCTCATTAGTTTTAGTTAATTACCAAGGTACTGACACATTCTCATTATTTCATTATACAATTCTTAATTTTTCAATGCTCTGATCACACACTATAATACCATAAAAGTGTAAAACCCCAAAGCCAATATTAAGAATTACAATGACTTGCAGGATGGAACTTTAATTAAACTCTCTGTAATACTTTGGATTTCCAAGAGTCCAGCACTATGACTTTGAATGAATGAGAATTCATACACATCACATAGCATATTAACAAACAATTCTATGTTGACGCACAGAAGCTATTTTGAGGATGCAAGCCTATATAATCGTACTGATCTACTGATTTTATAGGGCAACTGAGAAACAAAGAAATACAATAATCAAGGACCTGATTAAAATAGAATGCTTAAAAGAAGCTAATATTCATGTACTATTCTTTTATTCAAACTAAATTTATTAGATATTAAAATCAGAGGGTAAAGTCCTTGAAAAATGAAATTGAGTATTATAAGACTTGTCCAAAAAAGCTACATTGCTCAAAAAGTGTTCATACTGTATATGTTACAATGATATTTTGCACAGCTACAGTAGGTCACTTTGTGGAAAATATTACACTATGCACATTGACTGAGAGGCAAAATCCACCAAATACACAAATGCCTCTCATTATAAACCATTTTACAGTATGAAAAGGTTTCTATAAAATACAGTATCTTAAAATATCAGTTATATACTAAAATCATTAATTTTCTTTAAGATTAGTAATGAATTACTGCAAAAGGCTGTCTATATTAGGAATGTATAGATATCTCTTTGAATTGTTATTCATCAACCTAGCCAGCACTGAGCTACAGCAGTCTGAGCATTAAGTCTGTGTTGAAGGAACGTCTACATAAAATGAAGGTCTAAAAGTATTTAAGAACTCTTCAGCCCAATAAGTTAGGATAATCAGTTTGTTAGACTATAGAAGATATAATGCTTTACCTTGGAAAATTAGTAATTCTTGAAATTCGTTCTAATGCTAGAGAATGAGGCAAGTAAATAAAACCTAGTGGCTTGCTTGAAGGAAAAGCGGCACAGGCATGAGAAAATACTCTTTCTGACAGGTTAATGATTAGAATGAAGAAATTCAGCAGTCAGTGATTTCCCAAAAGGTCCTTTTCATGTAGCCTCAAAAATACAGTACATGGGTGAGAGTGAACACAGTGCTGACATGGTAATATCTTTTTTCTCTTCCCTACGAAACAGAGATACTTACTGTGTACTGTTTCAACAGAAAGAAAAAAAAAAGTTGTTGTCTTACATAAACCCTCAACAAGAGGACATCACCATCTGATAACATATTCAGCCTACATCCTTGGCTTATCAACCATGAGCACTGCACTGTTGTCAGGCGGAACTGAGGAATGTGAGGGTAGTGCACACCCTTTTTCACTGAATATTAGAAAACAAGCATACAGCACTTCAACTCAATTTTTAGGATTCATTACAGATCTGTGACAGAAATTTAGATTTCAACACAAACATGGCAGAAAATGTAGTTTAAGGCAAATACATTAAACCTGGATTTGAGCCCTGAGAAGGAACAGGACTAGAGCCCACTTTGATGGATGATAGTGGAAAACGCAAGGTTCTGTTTAATGTGATTGATCATGACCAATAAAACCAAGCAACATTTAACTGAGATGGTTCTCAGAAAAACATGTAGACAGTATACTTCATATAAAATCAGTTTCAGTTATTTACTGATTTTATGGCCATGTTTTCTGCTGTGACATCACAAATGTGTTTAGGCCTTTGTTTGCTGGCATTTCAGTGTCACCCAATGCTCATTAGCTGCCTCAGGATGATGCAGAGAATATAACAGCCATTGTATTATTCTTTATAATGGCCCAGTTTCATATACAACATTTGAGAGAACCCACCCCTTGTTCCCACCTCTACCATAAAAAATCTGCAGCTTGATGTACAGCACCTAGACAGAAAAAGAGAGCCAGCTGCTTGAGGTGTGGGCAACCAAGAATAAGCATCTGCTGTTCAGCTATGTCTGCTTTCCAGGTCCTGGAAGGCTCTGATTTCTTAAACTGTGTTTATAACAGCTTACCTTATTTATGTGACACCAAGTAAATCAATATTTCAAGCCCTAACAATAAACAGGTAAGAAAGGAAACCTGACAAAACTGTGAAACACGGAGCAGTGAAAATGCCATGCAGCATACTATTTGTCCTGCTACACATACTGTAGCTGCAAAGCTGTGTTTGGGGGTCTAGGGTCTGGTATGACTATTCTTTCTGCCAATGAAGGAAGTAAAAAAGGTAGGAGTACTTAAAAAAGCACCATTCAAGTAGAAACAAATCTGGATAAATAGAAAACAAATTCAAAATGAAAAGTTGGTAATATCCCATATGGATAGAAAACCTAGACAAACTTTCACCCCAGCACACTGGGGTTTAATTGAAATTAAAATAAATATATTCCCACAGCACAGTGGCACCAGTGCAAACAAATTAATATCCCTTGTGTGTATAAAGAATTTAGGAAATAATTCAAATCTGTTTTGTGACGACTGGGTTTTTTATTTTGGTCCTTTTCTATTTTTTTTTCTTTGCAGCGGTTCAAGATGTGCATACTGTACCTGGAACCAAAGTAAGCCTGTTGAGAACCAAAATGTTAGTCTGTGTTGGGCTCCATCTTACAGACCCCATGTCAAGAGGTATTAACAGGAGAAAAAAAATAGGACAACCACTTTGTTATTTGGAAGACTTTCTTCTGTAGTATACTGCATTTGGTTTTCATTGCTAAAGAAAAAGCAGCTACCACCCTTAATTTTCGAATTCTATTTCACAAAGAAGTGCAATTGAACAAGGTTCGTGGGAACACTGCTCTAATTTCTTGTGCTGAAAGGTCTCTTGTGGCTCAGGAAATGTTGACAGAAGGACAGTGCTCAAGGGGAACCAAGCAACGAGGGGAGGTCTGTTCTCACTGTGACTTACTATGAGGCAGAAACAGGAAGCTGTAAGGGACAGGGCCGTATTCTCTGGCTGTTGCAGCTTGGGGACGACGCGATGTAAAGAAATCTATGCAAAAAAAACAAACAAACAATGGAAAGGATTTTCATGGTTTAGAAAAGGAAATGCATGACATTCATAAGCATGATCATGACGCCCCAGGTCCCTCTGATCAACTCGTCCACGTGGCTGTGTGTGTGAAAGCAGAATGACGTGAGCCCAGCTATGATCAGAGGATAGCGATGGCATTTAGACTCTGGAGCGAAAGCTTGGTATGCAAAGCGAAAGCTCTCAATTCCCAGGAGCAGAAAAGAACTGCACACATGTCATTTTTCATTAAGAGAACCAAAGTAAATAAGAAAATAAGGTGCTTCTAAGTTGATCAGCTGGTATATAGCATTGCTACGGAGAAGGAGACCACCTGGTTAGTTGAAGCAAACACCAGATTCTTAAAACACACTTTTATACTTTTACTCAAACCGGTATACAAGAAATACACAATGCGATATACACATCCTTATTTGGGTAATTACTGGCAGTAGATACAGTATTTCTTTAATGCTTTTGGATAATATGTTATAGTCTGTATAATGTACTAAAACACCTAGAACCATATCCACAAAACAATTACTTGCAGTGCAGGTCTTTAGAAAAGGCAAAACAATGTGAAAACCTTTTTAAAAAACACAAAATTGCTTTTGACTATTAAAAATAACATTGAGAGAAAGGCTTTGGATTTACAACACTTTTCATACTTAATGGTGTTGTTTTCTTATGAGGAAAAAAGCTTATTGAAGCTCTGAGTCTGGTACTGAAACATTAGTGTACCTTCTTCTAACCCCTGTGTCTTGTCATATCTCATAATAATAAGACAGGGCCTGCCCAATGATTTAGTGTTTCTAGGTTCATCTGCATTCTGCTTACTATCTGCTAAACACTTTCATGGTACACAGTATATTCCTCCATGCTCCAGAGGTAACTAAACAAGGTATGATATACAGTATATTGCACATATCAGCTAAGTATATCATTCTAAAATGCAATGTACTGTATATAGCTTTATTCTGGATTTGCCAGTGACTCTGCAGATAATAATGCATCGCAGGGGAGTATTGCTGAGAAGTAACCCTGGTGCACAATGTTGTTTTAAAACACAGAGCATTGTGTGTGGGCGGGCAGACAGAACAGCACTGGTCTTCAGTTGAAGGATTCCCATGGTAACAGGGCACCTTGATAGACCCCCAGAAACCTTGATAATCCAGCACAATGCTGTCTGTATACAGTATGTCTTCATATGCAATCATTTTTATAGTGCCTGGTCCTAAGACATAAGAAAATATCAGCTATGGACTAATGCAATGTAATGTTTGTGATCTCTGTTTACATTCAGTTATGGAGCAAAATAAAAAAAAATAAAAAATGGGCTTACAGTAGTGACTGCTTGAGATGACATAAACACAAGAAAGTGTTTTGGTTTGTCAGCAGTCCTAGTTTATCTGCTTTACAGTTTTGATGTTAGCTAGTTTAGCACAAGAGCATTGTGTCACAATTACTGCATCGCAACAATATTATAATAAAGTCTAACTTCAGTAATGCTCTCTGGAACTCCATTAACATTGTTTCAAAAGGAGAGGATATATTTAAACAACAGAGCTTACAAAGTCACAAGTAGTGAGAAACACTTTCCAAGAATTGCAAAGAAAAAATTAAAGCATTTGTTACAGAACTTAGCACAGATTTAGCACATGTATTTCACTCGGATAAAACAAATGGCAATTCTTTAGCACAACCCATAAAAAAAATCAATGGATCCTGGCATGTCCAAGATTAAAATGGCAGCATTTAAGCCCTTATGCATTAATAATCATAAGAAGACATTTAATTTTAGCACAAGGGAAAGTGGTGAAATGATAAACAATAACATCCATACTTCCAATGGTAATTTCATCTTTAGGTTCAAATGAGCCATCTTCAACATTCCGGGTTATGTGATGTAACCTTGTCTAAAACCGCCCTACAGTACATTATTTAGTAAGAAGCTCTGTGACACAATTTAATTAAAAAACCTGAAAGGGAAATTACAATCATTTTTATTATATTGCCTCTCTGGATTTCTTGTTCTTTTTACAAGTTTAAGTCCATTTCACTGTTGCACATTTGTCAGTCACAAGGTTTCACATTACAAGAATTCCTTACACAACAAACCCTGAAGAGCTACAGTAAAAAAAAACTACTTTCAATACCTTGAAAACCACATAGAATAACAATCCTACTAATCAAGAAAACACAGCACAAACATTTCAAACACTTCTCTTTGTACTTCAAACCTGAAGTACTGTATCTGAAATCATTTTTTTTCTAAGTGTCTGCATAAATTGTAACAATTTATAAAGAAAACACAACCGATACACAGATTCCTTTTTTCAGTATTTCAGGTCTGAAAGTTTTAAGAACAATACTGTCTTCATGATCTTTGAAAAGATTATCAAAAATCATTACATTACAAATGTAAAGCTTGATCCTGTACTCCCTGTAAATCTGTAGGCCTGGTGTGTTGATGGTGTGGTATTGTATAAACAGGGGATCTTAAATTCATTTTTAGACAAGAGATGGAAATGTCTGCTAAAGCTTGTTTATATTTTGTAGCACAAAAACCTTATTCTGTAGATCATTTTGTACTACAGTATACTGTCTGTCTCATGATGTTTATTTATGCCTTTCTCAAACACCCATACTTTTTAACAGAAAACGTATTTTGTAATGGCACAGCATTTCTGAAGAAATTGAAGAAAGGGGTTGACTTTGGAATGGAGAGACAATATAATTCCGACCTTACCTCAGAACTCTCCGTCAGCTCCTCTTTCTCCTTGCGTTTTGTGATTTCCATGGCTGAGTTGTGGATGGTGCTTTGCTCTGCCATTTGTGTCTTCTGGAAGTCTTTGGCCTCCCTCTCTGTGACCTGGCATTAAACACGTAGTCATTTCCTAGAACCTTGGGTCATGAACAACAGAAGTCTTTTTGCTTAGACATCACACATTCTATAAGAGTGTGACTTGTGATAGCAGTTCAATCACTTTCAGGTACCAGGGAGGCAGAAGACCGCTACAACTCCCTCATTTACTGAGCACTGAGAAAAGAGAGGCTCTTAATATTTATCAACATTGTTTACTGGGAAATAACTTGAAAGCTCCTCATTTAGCACTAATAGCTTTGTTTGAATGTGAAGGGTTTTTCAATTTTTTTAAGGCTTTTTTTATTTACATATCTTGTATTCTTCTATACTGTACCTTGTAAATGGAGTATATAAAGAAACAGTTTTTGTATAACATATTACAATTTTCTCACATTCAGGAGAAAAATAATATATCAGTGATACAGATGGTTAAAAAAATCATCATAACAACACTAGTTTATTGCACACTCAACAATCAGATTTTGGTATTCTAAAGCTTTTAATAGTCCTACAAGTCATCTGTATAATCTAAGGAGTGGAGCAGGACCTCTTGGCTGGCAAATTTCATCCTGCTCAGAAAAAAAGCAGCTTTATGGTTGTTCGTCCCAAAAATTAGTCAAATACTTCCTTTGTTGCATCAAAAGTAAAGAAGAATGAAGCCTACAAAAAACTCACCAAACAGATCCATTTTTTAAATAAGTCCAGAAAGCTTTTCTAACTTTAATCTAGACAATCACCAATCTGAAATTCTAACATGCTATTTAAAAAATAATTCTGGATCCACTATCAGAAACAATGCTCTTTACTAAGTTAAACCTACCAAGCTACACCTAAATAATTATGTATTATTTGCACTACAAACTCATCCATCATTTTCTTTAGCCTTTAAAATGTGTCTGAGTGCCTAAGAATTTAAAGATATTAGCAGTTAAAGACTAAATCATTATGAGGACCTGAAGAATCTACTGTATATGCTGTAAACCTGAATCATTATGAGGACCTGAAGAATCTACTGTATATGCTGTAAACAATTGCTGTATATGCTGTAGATGTGCTAAAACAATTGTTGCTGACATTACAATTTCAATCTAAAGATTTTATGAAAAAGAAAGCATTAAGAGGGGGAATTAGGTTTTATTTTAAAGTCATGTAACTGCCAGCAAATTTAGATCCTTCTACAACCTATAAGAACCTAAAATCAGGTCTTTTAACCACTGACTTCTTGTTGGTAAAACTGTCTAACAGCAGTAAAGAAGAACTTTCAGTATTGCCTGTGTTAACATTGCTCAAAAGCGATTTTTCTTTCAGTAAATACCACTAAGTGTTACAGATGCTATAATGCTATTGTAATAGCAATAATATAAGGCAGCGCCTACAATTTCTATAGCAAGATTTATTAATCAGCAATTACACAAAATGTTTCATTCATACATGTATTTTCATTTTTATTTGGAATAAAATAACTTGAAAATGTATAATTTCCAAATGAAAACGTCTGTTCGAAACATTTTTAGATTAAATCCATCCATATTCTATTTTATCCAATGTAGGGTCACGGTGGAGCTGGAGTCTGTTCTGGCAAGCAATGTTTTCAAGGCAGCATTTACCCTAGTAGGGACTCCAGTCCATCACAGGGCACACACAGATACAGACAAACAAACACTCACACTAGGGCCAATTTTCCCAGAAGCTAATTTACCTACCAGTGTGTCTTTGGGAAACACCAGTAAAAACCCAGACACAAGGTGAACTTACAAATTCCATGCAGGTGGGACTCGAGGGATCCACAGGGCCCCAGTGCTGCAAGGCAGCAATGCTAACCACTGCATCGCTATTCTGCCCTACTCAGTCCTTTATTTATTAATGTACACAATTAAATAAATAGAAATTCTATATAATTGATTTTCTATTGGGGCACGTTCTCAGTAGATTTATACTCTAAGCTGGAACAAGGAGATTTTAAGGTGTGAAATCACAGGCCTTTTTTCCTCCACGGTTACCTCGACTGTTACCTCCTTTGTTGTGATGGGCCACTTGGGCTCATACTTGTCCTTGCCATGGTGATCCATGTTGGTCCCAGATGTGCACTTCTCCGTGCTCAGAGCATGAGTGGTCTTGCCTACCAGGTTCTGAACAGACTTCACCATGTTCTTCAGGTCTTCTGGATAGGGGGTGGGATACCGTTTCAGATTGATTTCAACCTAGCAGTGAGTGAAAAGACCTGGTTTAATTCCACAGATACACTTTCTGCTTCATCTGTGCTGTTCATTTTTTGGCTCTCCTTTAACTTTCTAAGTGCAGTTAAATGTCCCTTGTCTTAATTGTTTTTGTCCCTTAGTTAAATGTTCCCATTTAACTTTTTCTGTTACCCTAGTTAAATGTTCACATTTAACTAGGACAAAACAGATTTCACAAGTGGCTCCTCCATCGAATGAAGATGAAAACCCTGAACACATAGGCAAAAAAAGCAAGAGCAGAAACCTTCACTTTCCCAGAGTTGTCCTCCTCCTCCTTCTTGTCTTCGAACTCAAAGGCCACGGTCATGCGCTGCTGTCTCTGCTCCTCCCACAATGTAGGGTTGAAACTATCACTGTCTGACTGGTAATCTGGGAAAGACAGAACAGAAAAATAAACCAGTTACTTGCACGCCAAGCTGACCCCTGACATGGCAATGTGTTTCATTGCAGGTACCCAATGGCACACAGCCAAGCTCACTGAAGTCTTACCTAGGAGCTGAAAGCCACTGTTTCAGTGTTTGGAGTCTTCCCTTTCCTGGTTTACAGTAGGTACACATTGTAGATTCAAGAACCATGCATAATGCGATGTAAGATAATCCTTATTTTCTTTGTTATTTTTTACACAATATCTTTTGATATTTTGGACTGACAGAAACAGATCCACAAAAGACTTGAACAGAAACAGAAACAAAAGATGTGTGGACAATTAACAGCATTGTTAAACAAAGCCACTCTTAATTTCCTTACATTATTGCTTTATGCTCCAATAAGTCACTTCCAAATTGGAAAATGTTGGCAGTACTAAAAAGACATGTTTAGTGTCAAAAATCAGCATTATTTGCTATCGGCAGTTTTTTTTAAAAGTTTGCTTACGTAGCATACTGTACATTTAGAGCCCTGACCTTCAGCTACACCCATGTACAGTAAATGGAAATTTCCTTTAGTAACCTGTTCCTTCAGTAGAGGCTCATCTGAAACCAACCTTCATCATGCCGTGGCTGCTGAGGAAACATGTAGTTCGTCAGCACCCTCTGTTTCGTCTCTGGGTGGGCCTCTGTCTGAAGGGGGATTAGGGCCTTAGACTGCAAAAACACAGTGAGAACATCACACAGGTTAGTACCTACAGGTACCAATTCCAGAAAGGGTCTTGGCGATGCACACTCTTAGGCAGAGGGAGATTAATTTGACAATTAAGATAAGTAGTTTGTCCTGAGATGACTACATTGGGGTGTTTATGACAATACAATGGCATCACAATGCAAATACAGTCTGGAACAGTTTAACATGCCCTTCTCAAAATTAATCATACACCATGCAAAGGTGTACAGTAATAGTGCAGAGCAGTAAGGACTCCAGATGCGAGAGTACTGAGCTTCATGCTAGGGGTTAAGAATGTTGTAAGAGTAAGACACTTAACCTAGGTTCTTCAACCAAGCTCTGTTACATTAATCTGTACTTTGTCGGTGAAAACAGAAACAGCTATTTGGAACCACAGTAATAAAGCTGCTTTGGACAAGATCATGTGGAAAAATAATGGTGGTGAACACCCACAAACAAGTCAGCCTTGAACAACCAAAACAGGTTTATTAATTCCTTTGCCTTGAAACAGCACACAAAAGCAGCAACTTTACCTGATTGTCTGATAGCCAGAGTGCAGCAAGGTCCTTTAGTTTTGTAAAAGTGAAAGGCAAATTCTTTAACCTGTTTAAAACCAAAAAGAAAAATCAACAGCAATTCAGTACAAAATAGAGACTCCCACCTTTCCTAGAGGTGATTTTCTGAATTCATTGATTCCAAGGAAATACTTTTGTGACAAATCCTAAAGCATACTTCCTATTCAATCTCTGGGGATGGAGACTTTGAGGGTATTATTTCTTCCAATGACATTCCACTTTGATTTACTGCAGGAGGGCTTCTATCAACGAAGCTGTAAAGGAGCATCTCATTCTGTCCTAGTACCCTGCTGTTCTCATAACCACCTTTACTCTCTTAGTCTAAGTGACTGTTTAAGCAATAAAAGCTCCTGGAAGTAGCTTTAAACTCCTCTTCACTTTCACTGACATGAATTTGAATCCAGCAGTGTCATCAGTTTTGATGGAATTGTGTTTAAAGCAAACTGTGTTCCAATAGTACCCAAAGCCAGCGGTTACTGAAGAATCTTTAAGTGAAAAGACTGGATTTGATACTTTATTTAAGTTATATACTTTATTTGACATACAATTTAAATAGCATAGTCATTTTGAAAACATGTCAGGAAAAAAACAACACAAATAGTATTAATAGTAACAAATTGCATTATTATTATTCATGAAGAGCATGAAGGTATCTGAATTGATGACCTAAGGACTCCATCCATGTCAGGGCACATTTCCTTATGCGTTTGAGTCTGACTGGAAGCTGGATAATGGTTGCTGTTAAGGGGCACTAGAGTTTAATTACTTTCTCTTTTGTTAATCACTGACAGAACATCAGATCATCCTTTAAAAGTGCTGTTTAATTAACTCTGTGCTTGGAAGGGTCCTGCACAGACCTGCAGGAATGCTTTAATACTGTAAACATGTGAGATACATAAATATGGTGAATATACATACATTATACAATAAATATGTACTGTACACATACTATAATATTCAGACTGCAGAAAAGGGAGAGAGGAAAGAGAAGTGTATTAAGCCTGTACATCCATTTCAATCCATGTGCTAGCACAGATTATTTCTCTGATGTTGAAGCCTTTAATTATTGCCTCCACTTGATAAGGTTTTTTTACTCTGTAACATATAATCAGTGACAAGGAATCAGAGGGTATGCTGCCTTCATTCGTATCTGTTGTCTTGACAAAATTACACATTTCCAGTTTCAACACTTTTTTTACCTTCTTTAATCAACATATAGGTCTTTTGAAAATTAATATATGCATTCTATACATACACATATAGTGTGCTTATTCATTATGTTGGCCTGTTCAAAAAACTTATCTTGGCTAAACCTGTGTACAATGGAGCAATTGAATATGTGTATAACCTGAACCATGAGAAGAGAACCCCTTGGATAGTGGCATCCAGACATGACACACACACTCAAATGTGACAAATGGAGGGCATTCGGGCTGATACAGTGCTCTCCGTCCTGTAGTTCCAGCTCTACATTACTCATGGAGAATAATTTTTGACTGACACTGAATTAACTCTGAGAATTAATTCGCTGCACAGCTCTGCCTAAAGTCCATATCAATCCATACAGACTACTTTTGTTCTAAGAATTACATATTTTTAATATTTCTTGTGTACCTTACTATACTCAACTGCCGCTCAACAAATAAGTTTACTACTTTTTAACAGATGGAAGACCAGGAAGACAGGTGCCGGCTCTTTCACTTAATTATTTTGGACAGGAAATCAATAAGGCACTTTCAACAGGAGGATCACATCACTCATGTTAAAGCTCTGCCTCATAGGAATTCTTTGAGAAGGTATTCAGATATAAGCCACAAATTCCAATCCTCAGCTACTACAGGAACAACAAAAATGCAAAGGAAATTGCAACTTTCTGCTTTACAGATGTAAGCTTAACTTTGCACTTCATGAAATCTAAACACAGTGCTGTCTTATGGTTTGTGGTGAAAAGTGTTGAACTTGAGTTCAACACTTTTCAACGCTGGTCCAGTAAAGATTCATTTCAGTTGCATTACTTGAGGAGCACATCAAAACAAGATGGACTGCTGCAAAAACAACTACAGTCAGTCTTGTCCCAGTGTCGTGTTAAACAGTTGTGGAACCTGGTAATGTAAACACCGTAGGAGGTGGTTTAAACTGTAAAGCTGCTTGTTTGGTGTGCAGGTTGAGTTCTATAGTCCAGATATAACTGGTTAGAGCCATTAGGTGTTGCCAGGAGGCTTCAAACAAGCAAAAAATAACAACTGTAGAACTGGAAGTGGATGGTTTTAACTCCTTGACTTGCTGAACACCTGTCATCTTCAAGTTTGACATCATTAAGAGTCACAGGGCTCCTTTAATCAATTTGAACCCTACTTTAGGGCACACTATATTCACTATGTCATATGGGGACAAAGGAACTCATTACTTAATGTAGATCGTAGCAGTATGCTACACTGATTAACAGTTACAGGGGAACTGCAATGTTACTTTTTTTTGGTATAGAAAGAATCAGCATTGATGAATGCATTTGAAAGCACAGTAATGTGCAAAGCTTACAGTACTTTAACAAAGGTCATGATTTTGTGGTTAATTCAAGAATTTTGTTAAATATTTATTTTTGTTACAAAGATTGAATAACTAGTAATTTGTGACAGAAGTTCCCTTTTAATTGCCAATTCCAAACTAGCATAGAGATCTAAAAAGGAATACAACCAGCAATCATAAAACTGCAAAATAAAAAAGGAGCTAATAATAACTTTTATGTAAAGAGTGCCCCATAGTGATAAAAAAGTACAGTAAAAAGTTAAGGAAATAAATAAACAAAAATATATAGGATATAAAGTGGGGCAATCATACATAGGCCCTGGTAAGAGATGTGTTTTGAGTTAGGATTTAAAGAGAGTCAAAGAATTTGTCTCTTGAAGAGAACAAGAGCATTCCAGGAGCAGCAATACAAAGTCAGACATTTACAGAAATTGCCTAATGTTGCCAATATTTGTAAGGGAAAAAAAATATATCTTTCATGTGGGGCTCAAAAGAAAGGAGAGAATCGAGTGTAATTTCCTTATTCCTGTAAAAGCTGCCTGTGCTTTAATTGGTGACATTTTTGCACTGTTCCACATCAGTGATTAGAATATTTTCACAAACACCTTCCAACACCCTAAACTCTTGAGCACTATAGGTGTTTTCTACATCTACATTTTGCATAAAAAATAAAACCAAAATACAGTACAGCTGTGACATTCGGTAACTGAAAAAAAGATGGACAGCTCATTAAACTGCAATACAGTCAGCCACTGTGCAGTGAAATAGGAATGCAGTGAACCTGCAGGGAATACCTGTTGTCACTCAGGTTCAGAACTCTCAGTTTCGTCATCTGTCCAATCTCCTCAGGCAGGAACTCAAGTTTATTGGAGCGAAGAGACATGACAGTGACATTCTTACAGCTTCCGATCTAGATCAATAAGAGATGGAAAGCAAAAAAATTACAACCATCGAAAGAAGCAAGGCTAGTACTTTTCACGTGTTTCAGTCATGGGACGTTTGATATAACTCCTGGAATAGAGAGAATTTCCTGATGATGCCGCTACCACAAATTAGGTCAAATAATTCTCCCTTCACTTTGTTATGAGCAACGGAAGCAATTACTGTATACCCCCATTGAAAGATTTGAGATTACAAGAGAGAGTAGGCATTTTAGGACTTTTTGTGATGAAGCACTACACTATACAGATAAATAGAAATTGAATAGAATCACACAACACTCATGAATTGAAAAACTGGAAAACTATCTAAAATGTAAAAATAGCCCCATTTTAAGAAGGATCTCTAGCTCAAATGCACATCCAGGGACAGTGCGATCACATAACTGAACTGGCAAATGTGGAACTTGAAACATCCTTTGAATAAACCTCAGAGAGAATTTCAGCTTCAACGTACTAGCTTTAAAATGCAGTCTGGAGCAAGCAGAATTGGTAATTTGCTTCAACCCACAAGCAGGAGACAAAAAGATTTGTCTTTTTCCAGTGGATATAATGCATTCTACTATTTTGGATCACTGGATAGTTAGGTTTGCTTTGAAATATTTAGACAGTTCTGTACTAACCAAAAATTAAGGATAGACGTAATTATTATAGTCAACGACAGAACTTGCAGGACCCATTGTCGTTTCCCTGCACAGCTTTGTAGACACACTATGATATAGAATGAGCATCTATAGGAAGGTAATATGATGAAGTGCTAGCTTGTGCCCCTCTTGTTGTAGCGGTTATTTCCATACCGAAAAGCTCAAAGATAACACACCATAAATCTGCCTTCACAGCCAAAATGTTTTTCTTCTTTCTACCTCTACTTGTAACTTTGTAACTTGCATAATGACACAGCTCTGTACTCATGCATCCAGAACTGTCAATTAGTGCTTATGTAGAGTTAAGCAAAAAGCAGCCTCTTCTGACTTGTGATCCCTGATTACCAATAACTGCGATACAGATTTACAGCAGAGAAACTAATCTTCCAAATAATGTCAGCTTGTTCCCATCTTGCTTATAAAAATAAATAAAAACCAGAATGAATCTCAGTGCAACAGACCCCACCTCCAACCTGAACATTGAGATTCCATAAAACTTCACAATTTCTACTCCTCTGCTTTTTAAAATCCTTAATCACAGTGACAGAGGATCTGTCAGATATTAACATTTGTTGAGTGGCCCAAGCTGGTTTAACAGTTCTTACCTCTCTAGGCAGCTCTGTAAGGAAGTTTTCATCAGCAGTAAATGTTCGTAGATTATGCAGGTAGCCAATTGTCGGAGGAAGGGATTCAAGCTCATTACAGCTGCAATCAAACTCTTCTAAAAGCGATAAACTGAAAAAGGAAATAATTTTATTCATTGCTGATCATTTGCTACCAGAGGAAATTAGAGATGCAGTGGTTACAGGTCTAAGAAATATAATTTTGTGGATCTCTGAGAGTGTAATTTCAGTGCATACTCCAAGGCACCAGGAATACTTTCATTATAAAACATCCTTCAGAAGTGTCCTTCAGGTCTTTACCCTTTTTCCATGGAAAATATTCCCTAAAAATCTACAAATATCAAAAATAAAATATAATAATTAGCTGGAATATATCTGTATCAGTTTTTTATATACTGTATATATACACAGGCGAAAATGCAAATATACTCTAATGCTACCAGTCTGACCATTTCTTTCACTAAAGAAACATCTCAGAACAGGCAGCATAGTAGCATAGCAGATAACACTGCTGCCTGGGTTTGATCTCAAACTCAGGCACATTGTGTGGATTTGACACGTTCTCTCCATGGTAGTGTGACATTTTTCTGAGTGCTCTAGGTCCCTTCCAGCTTTAAGATCATAATGAACACTTTAATAAGCATCTTAACAAGCATGTGTGTGTGCTTTGCAGTGGACTGGTATTCCATCTAGGATGTTGTCTTTCACTTCTGCTTCCTGAGCACTTTGTTCCCACGACCCTTGCCAGAAATAAGCAGAACAATGGATGTAAGATTTAATAAGTGTCATGTATACTGCATTTGAGGCATTTTAGCAATACGCTAATTAAGGTGCTCAGAATTTACAGGAATTAATCAAGTTTAATCTATAATAATCGAGAAGTAAAATAAGCTATACAGAATAGAGAATTGAGGTGCTCACAACATATTTGGGAAGACACCCACAGTGTAGCTTCATTTTTTTGGGTGTGGCTTCTGCACAATTAAGACACTGGTTTGGGTCACTGCTGTGTGGTATTTTTTCCATATTTCAAACTCCTGATTTGTACTATACTGTGCATATCTATGGGATTGTTAAAAAAGTGTTTCGCTTGTGAAAAAGATTGGGAAAAATTGCTTGAGAACTAAAAAAAACCCAACAGTTTTTTTTCCAACTCAGATAAAAACATTATTCCTAGTACTGAATATACAATTCTGTAAGTGATATACATATTACCACAAGGGCTATGTTCGGTAACTGCCCAGAGATGCTTAGTCATTACACTATACAAAAACAATATGATCACTACAAAGGAAAATGGTACTGAATAAAAATCTTTATCACTGATTTACAGATAAGATGCACATGATTAGACATGCTTCTTTCACATTATCTTGCTAGAATTGTACTGTGTGATAACACCTTATTAAATGTTTCCTGGATGTAGCAAGCTAAATTGAACATTCCATTTTGTTGGTTCAAATTAGATTTTGCTAGAAACTGGACTGAATTAACTTTAGCAGTGGCACAATCTTATTTTCATGTCCACAAGGTGCTGATTGGTATTGGATAATAGTCTAATTATTGTCTACATCTTGAAGTACATCCAAAAAATACTTAATATTACCTGAAAGTGATTTTCATGCAAATATGGATAGTTCTAATTAAAGATTCGGAAAGCTTTTTGCTGTTGATTAAAATTTGTTTAAATTTTCTGAAGGCAAATGGACAGCACATTTAATGGGAGAACAGAACTGAAGTTAAAACTCTTTTCAATTAATGATAGCTCTGGAATACTGGAGTACTGTATATTTGGTATTAGTGAAAGATTACAAGAAATCTATGTTTTTATGTCATCTATGCCTATCTTTAAATGTGAATTATTCCGTAAGATTTCACCACACATCACATTGAATAGCTTCACATTTGTAATTTTTACGGAAGCCATAATATTTGATGAAATAGGCATGTATGCATTAGAAACATCAATACTTTCACAGATTAAGAAGAAGGGGATGACTGACTAGCGGATTATTTCATTCTATGGTTATTTATAGGAATAAAACAAAATCAGATGCAACATAGAGGCAACATTTCATTTTAAGTGAATAGTGAATAAAAATATCATTTTAAACATTTGACAAAATTTTAAATTTAAAAATGTTCACATATCCCATTTAATACATTATTGTAATGGTGAGATGAAATACAAACACCTGAAGCACATTCATTACAATCCCTTCTGGGATAGCTTTTTTCACAAAAGAAACAGATCCAGGCAAGAGTTAACTTCTGCTTTGAAGAATTTATCACTGTAACAGCATTGCTGACACCAATTAAGGACTGTATAAAGCTGTTCTACCACATATCCTATGTGCACCAAATCTCTCAGTCAAGAAATTATTCTTTAATGTTCACTGCATAGTTAAATACCTTGTAGAGGCAAAAGGATCTATTACAGTTAGGTACAGTTTCTCTTCCCATTGTCTTCTGTACAATATCAAAAGGATGTATCAAAAAAGTCAGACCAATATTGCTTTTAATTCCTAAACAGGAGATTTCATTGCATTTTTTATTTTTTACCCCCAGTTTATACATTGAATTAATATTACATACAACTAAGTGGTTTAGGCAGCTGCTCTGCCATAGATTCTCAGTTCATCAAAATCTACAAAAGACGGCACAAAGCACAGCTGATTAGAGAAAGATGGTATATGTGATGTATGTGTAAAGCAAATGGATTTTTAGTCTACTTACCCTAATTTGCCGCGTCCACTAAGTGGCCCATTTTAGATGCATGTATAATAAACACACAAAACCGACCAATGACAAACCCAGAAAAAGATGCACGCAGTACAGTATCAGGCGTGAGGAAAATACATCTGCAATGAGCAGGGCAGGGGTGCCTGAAATGGGAAAAGCTTCTATGGAGGAGGTACAACAACGTGTCCTTAGATTTCCTCACTGCTAATGACATGGCAAAGACGATAGGAAGATTTATTTTAAAAACAGGCATTGTCGATCAAACCTGCGCCCTTGGAGGAGTACTTTGTTCACCATTTTTCTTCATATTTGTTTCTTTCCTTACCTTGTTTGTAGGCAGTATTGCTGGTTTGGAATTCAATGCAGTGAAGACCCTTACTTTATGCATGAGTTCTGAACATTCCAATTGTTAGAACTATGTAGGCTGTACTTGCTCAACACTGATAAAACTCCCCCAGCTCATTTTCTTACTTTAAAGTCATCTGGGAAAACAAACTACCCCTCTTAAGTACTTTAGGGGTGTCCTACTTGGTCAGAAACATAGATGATGTTTCTAAACGAATTAGCAGCAGTGAGAAATCTAATATACTCAACAAAAAAGAAGGTGCAGAATCTGGAAGAGACAAGGAAATAATAAATACTGCACTGGAAGACTGAGATCTCTTAAAAAATTAAGCCTATTTAAGTCAGCTAGTCTTAATATTAGAAATGACCAAGCTCATGTTTAATTACAAGCTGTTGTAGCTACCTATGAAAAGCTGAATTTGTGCGAGCTTTAGTATGTCAATCGTAGAGTGCAAATTTACAAATCCTGCTTGTGTTTCTCAAAATGCAATCTCTGGAACCAAAAGCAGCTCTTGTCTGTTTCTATCTGAGATCGTATTGCTAGTCAGTCATTAGTCTTAGTGTTAAAAAAAGGCTAGTTACCAGTTTTCAACTTCATCTATGAGGACAAACATGATATAGCACAAAACAGGTGCCAGCTAGTTGGCACTACTGTAATCTTCATTTCTTAATGAATACAATTTTTAAGCTCAACTAATTGTCTGCCTTATACATCTAAACAATGAGGTTATGAATTGATTTTTACTAGATTTTTCATAGTTTTTAAAATGTATTTCATTAGGTAAATCAGTTTAAAAAAATCTAATTTACTGTGACAAACTGGAGAGTACACATTTATAAAGCAAAGAGCGATTTTGAGTGAAGCACCTTGCTGAAGGTTACTTAAGCAGTATCTAACCCAGCATCTCAACAACTGATTCCAGAGCTCTACTAAGAACTATCCCACACTGCTGCCTAGATGCCGCAAGCTGCAGGCAACGAGTAAATGAACACATCGACTGCTTGCATTACCAACTGCTATTTTCTTTCAAAAATAGGTCAAGAACACAGGTGGAGCAATCATAATCCCGCATGTTTGTCAAAATCAAGCAGCCAATGTCTTACATTCATTTTTTTGAGATATTAAAAAATCTTAATCTGCTGTGAAACCAAACTGCCTGCGTTTTTGTTGAGTATATCTGCTGTACCTCTGTTCCTCGGGAGCTCTCACCTTCCAATGGTGTTTGGCAGTGATGTCAGCTGGTTGTCATCTACTTTCAGTGTTGTCAGCCTCTTCAGCATTCCTGTGAATGAGAAGTACTGATCCAGGAGACGAAACAACAAACCAGATTTAAAAGTAAACAATTTGTTAATCTTTAATAAGTGCCAACTAAATAAACATTTTGTCAAAATTTGTCTTGATAATTTATCAATACTCCAAAATTAAAGAATGGACTAAATTAAACTGTGATTCAAGTACAGTGGATTCTGAACAAAAAAATTAAAACAGTATCAAAAACATGATACTTCCTATAGTTAAGAAATATTGCATAACTAAGGCAGTTTCTCTCCACTCAAGACACAGAGAAACTTATACATGCTTGTATACAGCAAGTTTGACTACAGCAATGCCCTACTACCAGGGAGCACCCATCACTCTTTCAACACTTTACAGCGAATTCAGAATGCAGCAGCGAGAATTGTTACTAGGAGCAGAAAGTACGACCATATAACCCCTATACTTGGCACTCTTCATTGGCTTCCTGTCAGGCACAGGGCGGACTTCAAAATCCTTCTACTTCTTTTAAGGCTCTCAGAGGTCAGGCACCTGTCTATCTAATGGAACTTATTAATGTATACAATCCAAGTCGCCCGCTTAGATCACAGAATGCAGGTCTTCTTCATATTCCACTCATTAATAAAAAAACAGTTGGCGGTAAAGCCTTTAGTTACAGGGCCCCTAGCTTATGTAACAGTCTCCCACCCCATGTTCAAGATGCCGAATTAATCTCAGTATTCAAATCCAGACTGAAAACCTATTACTTCAGCCTAGCCTACTCACACCTTACATCATAGCCTGCTGCAACTGTGGCTGCTGATGCTTCTGTACATGCCACTGTGTGTCTCTGTGTTGGCCCACCAGGTAATAATTATAAGTAATAATTTCTTACACTTATATAGCACTTTTCTGGACACTCCACTCAAAGCGCTTTACAGGTAATGGGGACTCCCCTCCACCACCACCAATGTGCAGCATCCACTTGGATGATGCGATGGCAGCCATAGTGCGCCAGAACGCTCACCACACACCAGCTATCAGTGGGGAGGAGAGCAGAGTAATGAAGCCAATTCATAGATAGGGATTATTAGGAGGCCATGATTGGTACAGTAAGGGCCAATGGGAAATTTGGCCAGGATGCCGGGGTTACACCCCTACTCTTTACCCTACCTACTCTAGGTAGATACATCTGTTCTGACCAAACTATCCTATTCTCCTCCCCACATGTCTAGATGGTGCCCGGGCTGGGAACCATGAGTTGGATGCTGATTCACTGCCATGGACATCGTGGATAAAGCTATCGTTTAGGAGGATTTTGCTGGTCCACAGAGATCTGCATAGAGTACTGACATATATGAGACATGATGGATGGATTAATACCCTTATTCATTTATTCCTTTTTTTAATTGTATAAAGTTAGCATGCCCAAAGGGGTTGGGCAGCCAGTTGAACCTGGACACCTAGAGGTTTTTTTCTCCTTACTAAAGAGTTTTTGGTTCCTCTCCTCCATTGTCTTCTGGTCTTTTCAGTTCTGCACCCACAATATGTATGTTCACATACTTTGTTAAGAGCCAAGGTTTCACAACCTTGTTGTGAAAGGCGCTATATAAAAATAAATTGAATTGAATAATAGCCATAACAGCTACTGTGGGAGCTTCTAAATGAAGAATCATTATAATCCATTGTATGTTATACAGGGTGAATTTACAGTAGCTGCAATATTTGAAAGACTTAATTTCATGAATTTATGAGATCAACACACTTCAGATTATTACATATCTACATACAACAAACTGTTATATGATAATGATACAATATTAACAATCTAACACAAATGCTTTAAGCATCCATCCCCTGTCTATCCGTTTAATCCAAATCAGGGTCACAGGGAAGCTGGAGCCTGTCACAGCAGGCACAAGGAGCAATGTGGGATAGACCCTGGATGGGACACCAATCCATTGTAGGGCACAAACACACACGCCAGGTCCAGTTTTCCCAGACTACCAGTATGTGTTTGGACTGTGGGAGGAAACCCACATGAACAAAGAGAGAACTTACAAACTCCATGAAGATAACACCCTAGGGCCAGAACTGAACCCAAGACCTAGTGCTGCAAGGCAGCAATGATAACTACTGTACATGCCACTGTGCCACCCTGTTTTAAACATGTTCTACAGCAAGTACTAAAGCTTGTTGCACTTTAGGTCCAACCAATTGTGTTCTCCATTTCTGTGGGTCAGGGCTAAGTCACCCAACTAATCCAGTTAGCATTTGACTGCCTTGCCATCCGTTTAAGACTGCTTTAGAGGAACTCCTTGGTTTGGGATTTTTGGGCTTGGGAAGGGGCTCATAAAGAAAAATACTTGTATTTGTTAGTCATTTCTGTACAATGTTTTTATGGTTCATATAGATTTAAAGAGCCAAATACAGTTTTCTTTCTTTAGCCTTGATTTTGTTAAAAAATAAAGAATTTTGAGTTTGAACCCAAAAGGGTTTAAACCTTTGTGCTTCCCTGGCACTATGCAGTATACATCTGCCATTCAGCTACACATGAATCAAAGTCTGTAAAACAACAAGTACAAAACTATAAAAGAAAGTCTGAAGGATACCAACACAACAGTAATACAAGCCACATTTTGCAAAGAACTCTCATGTAACATCAAAATGTGGTATTTTCACATTTTAAAATGCTGTGCAGCTCCCTTTGATTTTGTAATTTGTATGCTAACACTCTCGTAATGTGCATAAAATGAAAAAAGTAATGTTGCACAGATAGTCATCAAATACCCACAAAATAGATAAATGAGGTTATTTTCCAGAGGCATTTTCAGTGAATGAAACAATCTGTTTTTGAAGTATGTTAAATATAATTAGTGCAAAATGATGTTATTTGTGCATAACTGCAGGTTTACAGGCTTGATGTAAATTCCTCATAAAAACAGCATTGTTAAGCCTCTATTTATTTTTTATTGCAGAAAACAGTGTAGTGCTCATAGTTCTTGCTTCTCTTGTTCAGCTTAGGAATGCATAAGTTCTAATCATGCCTGAATCAGAGGTAATTATTTAGGCACATGTCCCATCTAGTAAATCACATTTCTGAACCGTCTTTTTAAAAAATATTTGAAGATAAAATTAAATCCTATTTCATTTTATGATCTTTATAACATATTATGCTTTATACAGATATTATGTACTAATATCACAAACACACTCGTTCTCTTTGAAAAAAAAACTGATTGAAAAGTTGTTTTCTAAAAAAAGCTACTACAGTATATCAGCTCTTGACACCATGCTCGGCCATATTAAGCCAAGTTACATCACTGCAGATGGGTTAACTTTGTCACTGCCTTTGAAGATTTTAACTTTGAGAATTTTTAACATCTGAGGATTTTAATACTTTAAAAAGTGTTAATACCTACAGCATTATTGTAATTTCTTTTCAAAAATAAAAAGACTTAGTCCTTTTAACTCTTCAGATTAATTCAAAACTGTGAATTCCAACTGCTTGCTGCAGATTACGAATAAAGTCCCAGAGGTGGATTTTGTTTCAGCAGAGGCTTCTTGCTTCAGTTTAGTGCAAACAGGCCAGGAGAAATGAGATTATGATCTGTGTCTGGCTGGTCAGTGGAGGTGTGATCTCTCCTGGCTGGTCAGTGGAGAGGTGATTTCTCCTGGTTGTGGTCAATCGGACCTGTTTTCAGGCTTCTGCTCCAGATGATCTCTCAATTACATAACTAAATTTATAGCTGAGGTATCAATTTGCTTTTTGTAATCGGTACTCTCAGCACTTATAAAGTTATTGAAATATATTTGTTGAATTTTATAGGTAATCCTTAAGACCTACATTCGTTATTTTAGACAGATAAGAGAGATCAAAAGGAATGAAAAACATTAGATTGGACTATAAAGCTTTATAGGAAACTTTAAATTTGCATCTATTCCCTTTGGAAAACTCAGAAAAGCAATGGGAACCTGATTTAATAATTAATACACATACATGCATTTCTTCCTAATGCAGAAAATGTAATTTGTTTTTGGAAACATTATGTCTCTATGAACTTCACATTTTGTTGCTATAGATTGTTGATGCATTCAGTTTGAAATATACAGTAAACCATTTTAAAATCTGGATACAAAAACATCATTTATCATGTCACTTAAAAATTTAATTAAGCTACCAAGAGCTCTGTCAGATTGGAGATCAAAAGACACTATATTACTTGGGACCATATATGACAAATTTATGTGACTTAAAGTCAGAAATGAAACTTCACTGGATAGTATTCTGTCCCAAGCCTGTTCACCTAACTAAGGAGATGAGACTTATCATTCATCTGCTTTCAGTAGAGCAATCTCCCCCCTACCCCCCAATCCCCATTTCATTTTATCTTTTCCACAAGGTATGTGACAGAGGTCAGGAATAAAGAGGTAAATCAGGACTCTGAATGCCCTCTGAAGGTCCCCAAAGGGTGTGAGACTGTTTAAATGTACTGTATGCTGCCAGGCAGAAACCATGAGCAGATTTAGGTTTGTATACGTCCTGCTGGCCTGTTGTCAATTCACAACATAAAGAGTCTCTGACAATTTAATAAGAAGGTATCTGGACAAATTTACCTTAATTTTAAGACAACAAGATGGATAGACTGTGTCATCTTATTTCCTTCTTGGTACAGAGAAGACAAATTTATTCGGCCTCCCAGACAACACCTTGACTGCCTCCAGATTGAGGTCTCTCCTTAAAACGACCTTCTCAAGGGGAATTCATCCCAGTTCATTTGGCTGCCCCATTTCTCTCCTCTCTTTTGTCAGGAGATGATTAATGGGCATTTGGGGATAAAAGCGGATTACCAGGGTGGACAGCTATTGTGTTCTAACCATTGCTTTGATATAGACATAGCATTAACAAGGAATAGAAGCAGTGACTAAAGATGCACACAAAGAATGTACAATCATGCCATTTGGATGGTGCTGAATTTTACTACTATTTTTCTAAGCTTTCCTTTAGTCATCTTTTATCCTGAAGTTTCCAACTTGATGTGAGATTTTTTTTTTTTAAACAAGGCATTAAAGATACCGGAGACTTTTAGAATCCCTTAACCTTAAAAAGCAGGAATATGTTTAATGTGTGTCATATAAAGGACAGCAGCATGATATCTAATGTTAGGGAGATTACAAAATAATTTGAAAACGTTGTGAACAGATCATCTAAAAGTGCAGCAAGATTTATAGATTCATTTTCAGCTTGCTCAAAATATTAATTATGAACATGATTTAGTGAAAGGAAGCAAAAATTAAATGCTCTCTGACACAGATTAATTAGTATGTCTCATTGGCATTAGGACTTTGTGTTCTGATACTTGCAATCAACCTTAGTTATGCCTACGTGTGGACTGTAAAAATTGTAAACCATTATTACTGCAGTTGTACAGCTGACATAGCTTTTCTCTATATTAGAAATCTTTACAAGATGAAGGTATTTTCTTTAAACACAGGACACAGAAAAATATATTTTTTTTATATTTTTTTTTACATGTATTTGTTGGATTCAGACTAGACTTTCATAAGGGACTATTAGTCAGAATTAGTGACACAAGGCACTGTAGTCAGAATTCAGCTCATCCATAATGCTGCATCCATAATACAAAAAACAATTGAGTATATCTTTCCAAATTGTTCATATCTTTCCAAATTGTTCATCTAGACATGGGCTTCCAGTTGATTATAAAACACACATTAAAGTACACCTCATGACCTGCAAGCACTAAAAGGTCTAGCTCCCGAATATTTCAATGAACTGCTATCAACTTGCACAACACACAGAGAACTCCAATCTGAGAATGGCAGTTTTCTCACAATTCCAAGAATCTCCAAAAATAAACTTTGGCGGCCAGTTCCCTAAATTGAGGAATGACATGCCAAAACATATACTGTAAGAGAAGCCCCTATGGGCTCAGCCTTTAAATCAAGGCTCAAGCTTAATTTCTTTAGACTCAATTTTTCTTAGGCTATAATCTTGTAGAACTGTTGATATCCAGAGGGTGTCATGTAATTTTCTTTAGTTTAAAAAGTCGTTTTCACATTACAGTTACTGTAACACACTTTCCCATTTTTTTTTATATATCTACGGCCTGGAGTCTGGTGTTGGGATCTGACGTTGAGCTTGCATGTCCTGACAGACCATGATATAAAATTCTTGGATATCTGAAGATGGACAACCTAGGAATTTGTCACTATTATGTATCACTAACTCATTGTTTGGAGGGGAGCCTGGGATCCATAGTGGTTTATTTTCTCCCACTGGGACTTTTTGTTTTCCTCCTCTATGTGGCCACATGATGGGTACAGTCAGCTGTTGCTGTACAATACTGTCATCTACAGTATAATTCTTGAAAACTCTCTATAGCAAATTGTTGTATAGGGTGCGATAACAAATCATTGATTAAATGATTGATTGAATGATTGATTGAGTTATCTAAACATGAGTGTGCAGGTTTTATTTATGGACCAGAACAGTACAGTATGCTTAATACATTGCTGTTTGTCAAACAATTTACATTAATATGAATGATTATTAAAGGTTTGTAATGTATAGTAAGAAAAGCACATTTATTATTATTTATACAAATACACTATGTATTGTAGAAATTAAAAATATTGTGGAAAATCAATTAAATTGATTTATACTCCATAGATCTTTTTATTGATATCTATACAATATAAAGTGACATTAAATGTCCATTTGATCAGAGTAATAAAAATATTTTCTCCACTTTTTAAAAAATATTCTACTGTCTGCAGTACTGTCTGCAGCCCCAAATTTTCTGCTGTAGCTGATGCTTGAAAGCACAAGGATATTTCTAATCCTGCATCACTGGAATGTAAAGCCCTGAAGCTCTGAGTGCTGATGGCTTCATGACTCTATATAATCACAGTATGAAGCATGGTGATGTGAATCAACAGTCTTTTGCACTACTGTGGCATTTCAGGCATTCAGAACAAAATCTCTGAGGATGCAAAATGTCAAGACCAGCAAACATGGCGTGATTTCAATTAATACTTATCTTCGAAGGACTGTACCAGTTTCAGCCTTTTTTTCTGGTATAGTAAGCCTAAACACGGTACAGGACAGGCAATGGCTTCTATTCTGTTTCTGTTTGGTTCTATTCTGTCTTATATCAGAAATTTGGGGTCATGCAAAAAAAGACCACATTACAAAAGAGGCATTTAATTATAAAAGACCCAGAATAAAGCAGATCGCAATGCAGTACAAAGCTTGTTGTTGTTTCCATCTTTTCTATCACACCTCCCAAGGCACAGCACAAGGTCATGGAAAACGGATAAGGCATGTGGGAGACAGTACTAATGCAACATCACCTTACCTATGGAGTCAGGCAGCTGCTGTAGCATGTTGGAGGAGAGAAGGAGATCTTCCAGGCATTCACAGCCAGAGATCTCCATGTCAATGGTTTCTATCCTGTTCTTGGACATATCCAAGTATGTCAGCTGCTTCAGTTTCCCTATAGACTTCATTAGAAGGGGGAAACAAAAACAACAGGGCTTATTTAGGGATCTGACCATCAGAGTTAGAAGCATACATATTTTGGTTGCCCTGTGGATATGGTGTGGGAAAGACCTTTCTTTGGAATCTGCTTTTTATTATTGATCACAGTAGCCACTTACTGACTTACCTGTAGCTTTTTCATTTTGCTAACATTAAGTCAACTATTTGGAATATGCAAGACCTCAATCACAGTTACACTCGGTTATGTATGATCAGTTCTAAGTCACTCTGATCATAAATAGTGGTGAATGCAGATTTGTGGTTTTAAAAAAAAGTTTAAATTTTACATATACACTACTTAAATGATTCCATTATTTAATTATATCTTATACTACGGTTCATTGACATTGTAGAAACATATTGTATAAAAGCAGTTTTACACAAAAGATAACACAACTACATATAGGAAAGCACTTCTTTAGGAATTTCTACTACTACATCAGATACTCATTGTACAATATACAGTAGTCAGTATCTAGGAGTTTAAGGTTTCTTAAACCAATAGGAGGTGAATACTGTAGTTCAATTTATGAAAGAAACTGCAGTAAAGGCCTTATTGAGTTCCTGATTATTTACAAAAAAACAAGAGAACCTGCTATGTTGTGATTCTTGATGAATGGAGCTTGATGAATGGAGTCCCCAGTTGTGATTAAAATTTTCATGTACTCCTGTAGTCATGGTAATACATCAACACATACTGTATAGTAAATGTATGAATTATTTAGTTATATCTGTTTTGTAAAATAAAATAAAACAAAACAAGAAAACAAGACGCTACATATAAAATCTGGGTCAGACCTAAGGTCTGATCAAATGTAATATTTGACCTAACTGCCAATCCCCAATAAAAAGTGGGGATTATGTTTGCCAAAAGTCTCTTGTACAAAAATCTCCCATCATGCACTGAGCTTATAAAATGTGATAGTCAAGCAGAATGAGATTTTTATTTGGTCTGGACCTAGTAATCTTCAATTAATGGGAATATTATATATAAATATTAAAAAAGGAATATGAGTCATCTCCCGTAGAATGGCAATGTCATCTGCATTTTCTCCCACCTAAATTTCAATTTGTTTAATTATATAATCATTTAGATATATTTACACTTCCCCCTAGGCCTAACATATTTAGAGGAAATGCAGCTTAAATTCAAGAGCTTGAGCACATCCAGCTCAGTAAATAAGATTAATTAAGGGATTGAGGGTTGTATGGTGGAAGGAAAAAGTTCTTGTAGCCAATGCAGACTGCAAAACTCTTGTATTTAATGTCAAAGCAATCCTGAGAAAACATCATTTTATTAAACTTTAATCCTAAAAAAAATTAAATTACAAATCTGGAAAACAAATGCAGGGTCCCATTTTTGTATTCTCCAGTCCAGCATTTTTACAGTTTACTCTGAAAGGAATTTCTTAATAGATATACCAGCATATTGTCTTAAGTTATGAACTTCTCAACTGTGAATTTTTGGGATTTGGTGACTGGAATTCATACTGTATACTCTGAGCCAAAGCAGGAACATATAAAACAAGTTCAAAAGAAATGAGGGAATCTTAAAAAAGTAAAATGAACCAAATTGTACTGGATGAAAAAAAATGTGTCAAAATGTTCAGAATGTCACGGTACAGGTGCATCAAATTTAAGTATTACAAAGAAAGTTGATTGGAAAGGAAAACTTTCCTACCCCCGGTAATGTCTGCAGTGAGTTGTTATCCATCCACATCTCCTTTAGGTTCTGTATTTGCTCCAGGACTTCAGGCTGAAACATTGAAAAGAGGTTTGTACTTGAGAACACATGCTTATTAACTTTGACAAAGCAAAGGCCCCATACAAAAGCCAATGGTTCTATTGCTGAGCAGACACTGTTTTCAAATGGAAGATAAATGTCTACCTTATACAAAATGCATTTATAGTAATGATGCCCACAATTTGGATTTTCCAACATATAAACATGAAATGTATGGCTTGTCTTAAATCATTGAAGACACACTTACTAATGCTGTCTGCACAGCTGAATAGGCCACAAATCTACAGTTCCTGCAATGTGAACCTTTTCATTAAGAGGATTTACTGCACATCTCCATAATATATATGACACGCTTTGTTACTCAAGCATGCATTGCCGAACTGTGGTAACAGGAAAAAAATCTGACAACTTTTGCCACTTGAGTTGTACTGATCCTGCTCACATGAAAAAAATGTGTTAATATATACAGTACACACACGCTGAGCATCAAAACAAACTTATACTGTTTAAATGTAAAAAAATGTCATTTAAAATAGTTCCAGTATTCAAACGTGCCCTTCAGAGGACAGAATTAAATTGTTTAAGTGTTCAACTTTAGCAGATTGTCTATACGGTAACCTCATAGATGTCTACATCCATCCATTTGTAACTGTTTCTTCCAAATCAGGGTCAGGGGGGTGGGGGTGTGGAGCCTATCCCAGCAAGCAATGGGTATAAGGCAGGGTCCCCCCTGAATGAGTCCATTACAGGGCACACAGACACAAACATAGACACACACTCACACCAGGACCACTTTTCCAAGAAGCCAGTTAGCCTACCAGAATGGCTTTGGACTGTGTGGAGCAAACAGGAGCACCTGGAGGAAACCCACTCATACATGGGGGAGAACATACGAACTCCAACCAGATTGCACCCCAGGTCCAGAATTGAACCCAGGGTCCCAGGACTGTGAGACAGCAATGCTCTGATAGACTTATAAAATATACAGTTTAAAAAAGCTTAAACAATAGAAGTGTTGACTCCTGAGATTATCCCATTCATCACTAGTGCTCACTGTGACAACCAAGGAGAAAAACACTAGAATAACCTCAGTAGTTGGTGGAGAGTTTTACAAATAACAAATGCTCATGTACATGTAACAGTGGCTTTAAAAATGACAACCAAAATATTTTCTACTTGCAACACATAATTGTGTTAACTACAGTGTTTCCAAAAGTTCTCACTAGTGAGATAATTACTTAAATACCTCTTTTTACTGTTGAACCTAGGATTTAAGCTATAGACAAATTAAACACGAATGAATAATTAAAACTACTTGAATATTGATGAAAATCACTGTCGACTATATTACATTTCTACAGTATAATATTAGGAAAACAAGTTCATAGAGACTTTTTAGAAACATTTAAATTTCTTAATATGATAGATTCATCGAAATATCATGCATTCACCCTTAATTAATAAAACTATTAATAAATTAATAAAATAATAAAAAAATTCCCAGAGTGTAGTTTTATTTAGTTTTGTTTTCTCCCAGTGTCATGCAAACAGACATTTTCAGCTTTATTGTGTTTTACTAAGCCATTCAATTAATTAGTAATGCACAATTACTAATTGAAAGGGGTAGTCCAGTCTGTACAAAATATTTTAATTCAGTATTGCTGTACCTGTTCCACTAAACAAGGAAACAAACTCACTTGCAAAACCAAACTGCTAAATTCAAACTTAAACTAGTTTTCGTTGGATCTCTTTTCATTTATAAGATTCAACACAGGCATGACCCTGAGTAAGAGAAGTCAATTACGTTTTTGTGATATTTAAGTTTCTCTTTTCTTCACTCTTCACCAGACCACGACATTAAAAAATGGTTTTCAGCAATAAAGAATATGTTCTGTAAGTCTGAATGACAGGTCTGCTCTGTGTCTTTAATGGTGTGGAACAGATCAATTTGAAGTGCTGTGCCCTCTCAATCACTGTGGAAAGAGTGGCTCATGACATAAACTGGAATTGGTCCTCGCTGAGTTTCAGCTTTTTATCTAACATCCAACAGTCAAGTGAAAAAGGAATTGATGAACGAAGGCTGAGTTATTCTTTATCTTTCAGATTATTGTGATAGCGTTTGAAAAGGCTGATGCATTTATTTATTTCAAAGCACTTTTAAGTTTTTGTAACCTTTCTTCAAAGGAATCCATTTCAAATTCAGAGCACACAATAAGTGTAAGGAAATTATGTGGCTGCAGACACGTATAGTATATTGCCAAAAGACATTATCAAGGCCATTTCTTAAATCTCTTCAAGCCCCCATATGATACTAATTAAAAGGCTTCTGCCTTCCCTTTGTGGCACTCATCCAAAGTAATTGTGAAATTAGGTCCAACAGATACTGTAGAAAAATTGCTTTCTTGAGGCAAAGCCGATACTCTTTTCATTTTTGAAATATTCTCAAAATAGTTACCCAGCACTAGCTATGTTTACGATTATGACTTCTGCTGAGAAAGCAAGAGTAGAATAAATTGAAACATACATTTTTTTTCAAAGCAAAAATAAGGCTAGAATTTATCTTTTAAAAATTGGAAAGAATATCACAAAATATTTTTTTGTGTTTTGTCAAACTGCACACAAATGGAGTATTGGCTGTACACTGAAATATGAGTGTGTTAATGTGTTTAAGAAAAGTAAGGACACTAAATAACATTTTAAAGGGACTGAAACACTTCTTTCTGAGAAAACTTTCTGTTAATTGAAATTTCCTAAAAAAGTAATTTGGATCTATAATGATGACAAAATGAACACAATGATCAAAACAAAAGTCTGCAGACAGTACTTCTGATATTAAATCTGTTTCCCTATTCTTGCAAATTAAAAGCATTAAAAGCCTAGAAGAAAAGATGACTTTGGAGAAAATTGTAGACTCCTCTTGTTTTGTCAAGCATAAGCAGATTTTCTAGTATCCTGTGGAACCTCTTGCTAATTAAAACTCACAACAATAACTTCATCTCACTTTCATTAGTACATTCGTCAAACCTGTCAGACTAGCACATGACATTATACTTTCATGAAGACGCCGGTAATTGTCTAATAATTGTATAGTATATCACTGCAAAATCTCTAAAAGAAATGTATTCACACAAGCCAACTGTGAATATATAAACTGTTTAAATACAATTTTGTTAGCAAAAAGTGATTTTTTAATTCAGATTTTTGCTTTATTGACACCATGCAAAATTGCGGGCTACAGTATATTATCCATCCTTTTCCCAGACCCTGAAAATGTACTGTGTGTGTAAATCATTCCAAGATTTGGTATTGGTTGTTGCTGTTTTATGTTGCCTATTTATGTGAGGGATCTGGGTAAAAGCTTTTATTTTTATAAAGGGATTAATGTATTGAGGCAGTTACCGGACCACATTATGGGCCGAAGAAGTTCAAGTAGGTAGCTGCGGCAGCACGCGTAGGCTGTAAAGGAACAGGTAAAGGTCTATTTCATGCTGAAAAGAAAAGAGACACAACATTTCAGCTGTGGGGCCTTCTTCAGGTTTGAGGGGGAGAGGAAATCCAGTTTTCCTCTCTCCCTCATACCTGATGCAGGCTCCATAGCTGAAATGTTGTGTCTCTTTTCTTACCTTTACTTGTTCCTTTGCACATTATGGGGTTTGGGCAACAGTGGTGAATTGTGTTTCATTGCACTCCCAATGCATGACTGTGGACTTAAACTATGGGGCTCCCCTGTAGTGTTACATTCAAGTTAATAATTTGTGACTGTACTGTATATCCAGCAGCACCCTAAGATCAGAGGAGAGATTCTGTAGAGAGCTGAGCTTTTGTTCAGTGTTCTCCTATTTTTCGCTATTGTGTTAAGAAGTCTGTGAATAGGCAATTGTTGACTTCTGGATAGATTTAAGCTAAATGTTAGGTTTGGGGTTGCACATACTGTACATCTGTGTGCAAAACCACCACTTCACATTATATTACAAGGTGTGTGTCGTACTTCCTATTCACAATTGCTAGTTACATTATTATTTCAACAAGAGAAAACATAAGTTATATTTTATTCAATTTGTTGCTCTTTAACAAATGGAACTCTTTAATTAAAAGGCTTTCCTTAAATAACATTTAAGTCAGTTGTTTGTCATAAACATTATCCCTTTTATATGGAACTATTTCTGCAGCAAACATACCCCTAGGCAGCTTCATTACTCAGAACACCAGTGGTTTAGGTGAACAGCTTATTTTGAGGTTTAAAACAACAGCAGTAGCATATTTAATTGTGTCTCTACTTATGCCAATTAAACAGACTGAACATTTTTATGGCTCTTTGTTAAAATTCCAGAATTTTGTGTATGTACTTATGAGATTTTTTCCAGATATCAAATCATTAAAACCACCTCCAAAACACCCGAAGGCCAGTTGAAATCTGTAGGCAAACACCAGCCTAGCGAATGATTTTAATGAACAGCAGGTGATATGGGGAACACTGCAGGCTGTGACAGAGGGCCTTCATTTCACTTGGCAAATTCCTCCACCAAGACAGGAAACGAAGGCAGTATTATAAAAGATTAATCTTGCCACGCTGAAACAATCAATTCTTTCTCTTTTTATCTGTCTTTCATGTGCTGCTTTTTCTAACCAATGTGCCCTCTCCCAAGGTTTCAAAAGCTTCTCAGTGTGAAAAGGTTCCTTTTTTGTTCATTGATCAATACTTTAGAAAAGATTCTTAAAAGGGTAAAGGAGCTTAGTTTTCCACAGTTTGTACTTGGGGCTAAAGTAGTTTATTAGCATGGAGTGGTGTTATCATCAATTTAGAGGTATAGTCCAGTACATCTCTATGACTCAGTACCCCACCACTATCTCACCCCTTCTCACTCATGGGCAGCAGACACAAGACAAATCAGAGTGGTACCTAGACAGAAAGGAACACACACAGATCTAGTATAAACATAAAACACACTCAAACAACACACAATAATCATGCAGTTTGAACAATATTGCAAAGCAAAAGTTATACAGTAATTCAACAACTAGATGTAACCTGCCTCCAACCAGGGTAGTATGGCGGCGTGCCAATTACATTCATATGCCAAAGCACACTTGAGGATTTTGGGCAATACACTCAGCTACCCACTAAACTGTGCTGTTCTTCTCTTCTGTAGAGAGGCTATAAGGAGATGCCTTTGTATTGCCACACTTTTAGCATTCTGTACATACGGTATATCCATACAAACCCAGAACCATGAGCCATTTAGTGAAATTTGAGAAAAATTTCAGTGACAAAGCTGTTAAAACCCCACTTTAAGTGCACAGATAACTAAGGTAAATGGAAGAAAATTCTAGCTAAATTGAAGTTTCCTATGTTTGACTATGATAATCTCTTTAATGTTTTATGGGTATGTTGAAATTAATGTTTCAAATGTGATTTTTCTTGTCTGGCCATGTCAAATATTAACTCAAATGTCTTGTGGAGGTGTCAAGGACCATGTTCTGTTGACCACTGAGACAGCCTTCAAAATACTTAATAGGAGGACAAGGAGGCAAATGTTTAGTCAACACTTCCTGGCAATGCTCAGTGGTTTAATGACATTTCTTCATTACTGTCAAGCTTTGAAGGAGTGAATGTTTTCAAACATTTTTTTCTAATTCTGAGCCATTTAACGTCCATTGTTTTTCTTTCCTTTACAGTTTTTCCCCTCCTGCGTCCACAGGATACTGATTTAATAGTAATTTTTGTATTTGTATTTGTACAACTGCATTTCTAGAACAAAATGTAGTCTCCTGTCTTCCTTGCCTTTTTAATTTCACTGAACGTTATTCTTTACTTGAGATTATCTTCTCCTCTGTGTTAAATCTTTCTCAGACCCACCTTAAATTTGAATACTTCACTCAAAATCATCCCTACACTGATTTACTTTGCTTACAGACCCCTGGTATATTAATGACAATTCTGACAAAAATATTGCCCTTCTCCTTTGCTTCAAATGATACAGTAGGTGTTTTAATTCACTCCAGTATTATTACCACAATAAACTGCAAAATACATTTTCATGTGTAATGTGTACTGAACATAGGCCCATTTTGAAGAATTTGAAATCACCAAAGGTGAACTGTGAAATGTAATTGAAGATGATTGACTGTGATGTAATTGAATTTCAAGCAGCTTTTCTCAATAGTATTATTGCAGTGCCATTGTAAAAGCTCTACACATACAGTAAATTAAGAATAGAATTTTAATTATTCTTATTTGCATTTATTTAAAAATGTATATACAGTATATTTTTACAGTAGATCAAAAGATCTGCATGTATTAAATAATTTTGAAATGAAGACTGGAATTTGTTGACACTCTACTCCATTTGTGTGATAGTCAGGTAGTTGGAAAACTAGAGATTTTTTTTCCAGTCACTTATAATTGAAGACAAACTGGTGCTGACTTTACCAACACTGCTGAAAGTGAATAAAAAAAGTAAAATTGACTCAGTATTAATAGGACATTTCTCCAGTGAAAGCAAAAGCTGAAAGACGTCAGTGAAAATTCTAATGGAGCATTTTCCATTTCTGCAGGCCTGAATAAAGCCAGGATCCTGCTGTACTAAAAGCTGTAGAAATTCAATAAAAAAGTAAGTGACTGGCTGCTCAAGTAATGCACAGGGAGTGAGGCCACATGCAGCGAGACAGCAGCAACTATAGATAAAGTTCAAAATGACATACTGGAATAAGGCAGGAGAGACTAGTACCGAACATGATATCAAAAACAACCCTGCAATGATTGTGCTACATAGTGGATGCAGCATACAGTATACTGCAAGACCCATATAAATCTAACTTGAATTCACAATTACTGGCTGTCAGAGGGAGTTTCCAATGTACACAAGAGTGTGATGCTCCATAAGTAACAATAAGTTCAAGTGCATTTGAGTATATAAATAGCCAATCTTAAAGACAAAGTAAAGGGGTTACTGGCATATGCTCATTGCTGGATTAAAGGTAAATTGGGGCATTATCAGGGCCAATGCTGTAAGGTAGTATGTGAACGCCATGGACTAAATTCAAAATTTGAAGGGTTTCCTGGACTTCAGATGGTGGGAGTCATTGGAGTACATGGCTTCTGAACTTTTCCAAACATCTACATAGCAGGGGACATAAGAGTAATCACACTGCTCTTTAAACAGAGAAGTAAGACTATTTCAGTATAACTTCTGCCATCAATACAACTTTTCAGGGAACAATTAATAATAATGAAATTTGTGACAGTAAAGTCAAGACTCTTCAGGGCCTCAGCAGACCCTCACATAATTGTAGTTTGGAATACCCCATGTTGTGCCTTATTTTGAATGAACTTAATAATTTCAGAAGACATCTGCCCCACTGAATTCATTCTTGGGAATGGCGTTAAGAAATTAAAGAACCATGCAATATGAAACAGGATAAAGTGAACTTAATCACATATCACCTCTTCTGCTTATTAGGAGACATGGGAAATTAGTCATGTCTGAATACCGTATGTCAAAATACACAACAGGTCATAATTCAAATGTAAAGCAAAAATGTCCTTTCTTGTGTAAAAGAAGTAAGATTATCCTCTCCCCATGATTACACCATGATCCACATATTTATATATCAAAAGGTAGAGAGGTTTTCAAACCCTAGACTTTATATAAACTCTGAAAGTGCCCAATATAAAACTTAGCAGAGGATAAATTCATGACCCCACAAGGCCAGGATTTGTCCTAACAAATGAAGGTCATGTTTATTTGTAAGTTTAGAGAATAATTAGAAAGATTAAATGAATGAAGGAATAAGTCATAATGGTTTGTGTTAGATTAAAATAACTTCAGAGTACCGTATATAGTAAGTACAAATAGCAAGGCTTGCTTAGTCTAACACAAAAACAACTAACAGCTCATTAAAGACCATGTGTAAGATTGCACATTTTTCATCAGCTGAAGTACTGTATATAACAATATGCTATTAAAATACCTTATATACTGTATATATATGATTTTGTCAGAAACTAAATAACGCTACCAAACCAGTACCATGTTTGTACTGATAGGTCTGCTGATGTTTCACACCACTTACAGTATGGTTCATGAATGCCCATCTTAAGATGTTGAAGTGAAAATGATATTATGACAAGTTTTCCTTCTTACCAGCTCACTGAATTCATTGCTGCCCAGGTCTAACCTCTCCAGTTGTGTCAGTCTGTGTATTGACCTGCAGCAAATGAGAAGGGAGAGCTTGAGATCCCGGCATGGACACAATAGCACAGTTTTGCAAAAAAATCACCAGCCAACTCAAGCTCATGCAGTAGGCATTTTAGCTCAAAGAGAAAACTACAGCCTAAACATTGCTGAAAAGTATACCTCATAGGTTATATCAGTCTTGTATAGTTTAACCACCTTTATTCCCAAAGACAAACCCAGCACATATGCATTTCCTTTCATGAACTAAACTCTACCAAATACGTGTTTAGAATTCTTGAGAATTGTAATGTGAACAATATAAGCTTGGTACTCAAACTTTGAGTCAAAGATCCATCAGCCAAAAGTCTTCCAGTGCAGAGAGAAAGGGGAAAGCTTTGCTTAGTGTAGCCTATGACAGCATTTGGGTCGAGCTGCAGGTAAGATGTGTGGGAGAAACTTGGATTGTACTGTCTATAGCTTTTAACTGAGTATGCTCAGATATTCAGAATGCTGACAAAAAGAGTCTAATAGTCCTAATTTTTTTTATCAGAATATCTTGGGCAGAAATCTCTCTTTCTTCTATGTTTTCTCCTTGTTCTCTGGGTGCTGCCAATTAATATGTTACACTGAGAACACTGAGAGATCTGAGATGGTGAATGAGGTTAGTTGAGTGGTGTTTCAGGGATGGTGGAAAGACGTGAACTTTTCTTTTTTTGCTTTTGGTTTGGGTAGTCAGTTAGTGTAGATATGGGTAGGACGCGGAAGACATTTTTTTGGTAAGGCCGCATTGTTAGGCATGACCACCTTTTTTTTCCGGTTCTAGCTTATGTAGTTGTGTATTTTTTTAGTCAGTTAGTTTGTCGAGGTTTTGGTTTTAGGTCTTTCCCCTCCCAGTTGGAATACAAATGTGCATCTCTGCCTACCTGGGTTTTTTGGTATAATAAAGTTGATTTGCTTTCTCAGGGAAGTCCGATCTCTCGGGTGTTCTTTTTGTGTTTTGTGTTGTTCTTTTGCTGGGACCCTAGATGTATTTTTAACAGTCTGTGTCTTGAAATAAAGTTAAAATCCTGAATCTGACTGCTTACTGCCACATGGTTGGAAAAGTCCAACTGCCAGGTGAGATGAGAGAGAAGAGAGGTGAGCCAGCAAGCTATCCAATGAAATGAAGTTGTCTACTAGGAACAGGTAACAGGAAATCATAGTTGGTGATTGCTTTGGATGTCATCGGTATAATCGTGATATTCACCTTGCGAGTTCTTCATTCTTTAGGTGATGGACAGTGACCTCTGACCTATTGTCTTGGGCAGAAGGGGAATAGCAAAGGAAGAGGAGCCAGGCTGCACCATTTATTATTAGGGAGGTTCAGGATGAGCACAGCTTTAAAATATTCTTGTTACGTCATGCCCCCAGAGAACTAGCCACCCTTAATCAACCCCTTCACATTCCAGTGCAGTTTCCAATTAACTAATCAGGTACACCTTCTTCCACCTGCCTACTTAAAAAAGCAATACCTACCTGACACACCACCCCTTGCTCAGTATTGGGTTTTACCTACAGTAGAAACAGTTGTTTCCTGTTTATACAAGACTTCTACGTTTTTGGTTCTGACCCCTGGCTTTGTTTCTGACTTTCTCTTCTGGATCTCGACTTGGATTATTGTGGATTTGCTGGTTTTTTACCCTTGCCTGACCTCCTGACCCACATTTGTGGATAAACTCCTGCTGGTACTTTTGAGTTCAGAGGCTTCTGCTTAGTGTCCTTCTTCCACACCCTAACAATAATTCTACATGTTTTAGTCCTGGATGGTTTTGTTTTATCAGAGGGATGTCTTTAAGCTGCTTTTCTAGGCTTTTACACAGAGGTCCAAGCTTTGCCAAGGCCACAGAAAGATCATTAAAAATCTTTAAGACACTTACTGTAATTCTTAGTGTAATAATGTGTTGAAGGTGCACATCTCCAGGTGGATTTCCACAAAAAAGCAAAGTCCATTTCTTTCAGAGAATTAAGTAGTTGATTGTTTTACTATATTATTATTATTATTATTATTTCTTTGTTCTGATTGTAAGATGAGTTTATGTTCCTTGTATACTGTAGCATTGATTGTAAAAACACATAAACAGATGTAGTCTGGATCAAAAACAGATGGGTGAAAAGGGCCCTTAGGAAAAAAATAATAAACTCTTAACATGTAAGAGCAAATAATTAAATTTAAAAGCAATACCATATACTAATTACCACGATTAATGTCTTGGTACAAAGACTACCAAGACTAATTATAATTAAAGCCTGCACTTTTTAGAAAATGCCATTTCTATTTTTTTAATAAAGGTTTATCTGACACATTGTATGTGATTCCAGTTTCCTTTGGTAGACCTCCCACAACATCAAACCTAGAGGAGAATGATTCTTGGAAAACTTAGAAATCTCACTACACTTTACAAAGAGCACAGTGACTACGCGTGTACAGTATGTGTTGGTCTGATCATGTGCCTCTTGATAGTATGAATTATCCAGATTTCAGAGCATTAAGTGTTATATTTTGAAGTATCTCACTTACTAAACCAAGATGTAGATCTTCCAGATGCATCCAATAAGTTATTTAAAATTAAAATTAATTAATTGATTATTGAAGGGTTTCCATTTATCAATACAAAACATTACAAAGAAACCATCTCTTTGCAACATGGATTTTGGAAAAAAGGTAAACATAACCACGGCCCTGTAAATTATTTGTATCAGACAATCCGCTCACAATCAGAATAACACTATAGGTAAACAAGGTTTACAGTTGAACCTGCCCTGCCAATTTATTAGCCACTGCTCAGTTAAGGCAAACCTTAGGATCAATGAATGAACGTATGTGATAATTGGGAAGAGTAAATTGTGCCTTTTCTTTATGATTTTCACTGTCCTCACTTCCTTCTTACAGCACAGACAGCTCCAAACATCTTATTTTAATTGAGATAATATTGCTTTAGGACAAACTGGAAAGAAAAATCACTGAAGTGGGGTGGTGCAAGAGTGTGCACAGTCGAAGGACGCACTGATTTTCTTTGTGTGTCACAGCGGGAGGGTGAAGCCATTGCTGCTTTCTTTCAGGCTCACAGCAGTAATTCTCATTGGCTGCTGTCCTCCAAAGTCTTTGATCAATAATGAGCAGAAGGAAACACTAGAGAAAAACAGTGACACACTGTAAAGTAAAACTTTTTTTAAGATTCTATGTTGTTAAGCAGCAGTGGATTTCTTACATGACTTACTATTTTAGATGTCTTCTACATCCTTTACTATTGTTCAGCTTTTGCTTCAAACATGAATCAATGTTCAGCTTTCAACAATATTCTTTTAATTGTGGGTGTGTGTGTAGAGATGCAAGAAGCCACGGTCCAGTTCAGCAAAGGTTTGAAATGAATGTTCTTTGAAACTTTTCAAGGGCAATGTATCATATTCTGCACAGTTAAACAAACACACTCTTACTTTGCTTGTATCTTTGGGATTATATCATCAACTTTTCTCAGGGAACATGACAAATGTTTCAATCAGAATTCTTACTCTGAATATGCAAGTCTATAAGTACATGTGCAAATTGCAACATTCTCTTGGGCTTATGGTGCAACTTATTTCAACTGCAATAAGTTACAATATCATCTGTTCTGGTGCATTGCCTTCAATACTATTATATACTACATTACAGCTATTTCTCTTTTAATTTCAAAATTAAATGAAGAAAAAAACATAAATGAAGCATCTCATCATTACACATATTACACAAAATACATTTATTTCACTAATGTCTTGTCAAGGCGAAACTGATAGTTTCTGTTTTTTATGCTTTAATTTGGGCATATATGTTTTAATTGAATAAAAGGCTTAAAGGATAAAAAGCTAATTTTAGTGGACATAAATGCACTTTTTGCACAAACAATTGAAGCTGGATAGAACTTCAGCAAAGAAGTTCAGCACCCTTTAGAAAACCAATTAATGGTTAACTTATACTGGGTTGTACTGGGCTGGACAGACTACATGGACATTTTATTTGAAATGAGAAACACCCAAATCAAATTCTAATTGAAACGTGCAACATAATCATTTTTGTCTTATCACATTGCAAGGGTGAAAGATTTCAGTTGATCTGTTTTAGTCTGTTTTAGTCACATAACCCAGGATTGAAATCTTTTATGATGATAGGCTTTCCTTTAGGCACTCTGGAATTCATGCTACTGTAGCAAAGGTGTTGTATGGCTCAAGAGTCGAGTACACCTGAGAGACAGTGATAAACTCCTGACAGCGAATGAGCTGTATACACCATACAAACCTCACAATCTAAACTGGATTGCTGACCAACACATCCACCAAACCCAGGTGGGACTTGTGTAATTGCATCATCCATGGAATACTATATTCAGATCTTATTAATAAAATGGTCAAAATATAAGTGATGGGATATGAAGCTGGGCCATGGGGCCGTGAGAGAACAGTAAACCCAGACAACATGGAGGTTCTTGTCAGGACCACATTCCCCAGAATACTGGGAAGAATAAGCAGCTGCCCTCAGTCACCTGACCAATTGTCTTGCACCAACTCTTCTGAAGCTATTTTTCATTTGTGTCGGACGAACAAATCCCAGAGGCTTCCGGTTTTACAGACTTTGACCATGTAGTGACATAATCCCTAATGGATAGTAGATAAAATATTTTAGAAAACAACTGTGTGAAAGGCCATCAGCAGAAATGGCTTTTTATGAAGCAAAAATGTATCTATAATTATGGGAACTCAGTGACTTCCAATATACTGTATATTTATACTGCCACTGTAAAATAAAACAAAGGGTATATTAAGTTGTATCTAAAAATTAAATTCCAACCATTTCATTAAGATGCTTGTAGTAGGGTAAAATGGCTGTAATGTTCTTTGAGCTCGCAATTAAAATTAACTCAATAAAAATGATAAATGATTGACTGAAGGTTTTTTTTTACAAAACAGACATTGAAGTCACACAATCATTGAACAAAGAATGTTAAGAATGTAGGATTAACTGAAATGTGGGACATGCCTTTAAGCCTTTGTTAAAGAAAGAGAAAACCTTAGAACTTTCTGACATCCTAGTATGAGATCTTGGAAGTTTGGCCATTATACTGTATATACTTTATTCTGGATAGTTGCATTATTATAGAGCCAGAGAAGACACCTCAAGTATGGTCTTATTTAATTCCTTGCCACTTCAGCAACTGTCACTACTTATATTAAAAGACACTATTCATTGTTGCATCACTAGTTCTCATACAGACAAAGAGGTTTCTAAAGCTAGAGGTGTGTAGGTTGAAGCGAACTGGCTTCCTGAATGATTGGGATATAAGTGATTTCAAGTAACTTGGAAGGGCTACAGGCATTTCAGGAATGACTAGCACCATTGTCTTACTAAACCACAGGAATGCAAGAAAAACTACATCATAGGAAGTAATGAGGAAGAGACAAAAAACTTACTTTGGTAATGTTTTCAGGTGATTTTCTCGTAGTTCCAAAATGCGTAATTTGGTAAGTCTGAAAGAGAAGTTGAAAAGAAGGGTGAAAGTACGAAAGTTAACATCAACAATAACACCAATCCATATTTTACTTTAAGAATTCATTTCAGGGTGCAGTTAATTTTTGTAAGAGTTCTTGTTTTGCTTATCTGAGGAAAAAAGGAGAGATTCTGCACTCTACCATATTTCGAAACATGAAAACAAATATGAAAAACTGTAAAAGATTCTGATATACTGTATACTGCAGAATAGTGAAACAAAAATTCAGAGGAATGAAACTCTTGAATAGTTTTAAACTAAATAAACAAAACCCAAATCACATGTGTGAAGCTGATGAATGTACTGTATATGGCATCTAAAAGAAGACACGCTGTTTGCATTATCTGCAGTGAAATGCTTAGCTTCACCCACTGAAGCTAAGCAGGTGTGAGCCTGGTCAGTACCTGGATGGGAGACCTCCTGGGAAAAACTAAGGTTGCTGCTGGAAGAGGTGTTAGTGGGGCCAGCACGGGCACTCACCCTGCAGCTCATGTGGGTCCTAATGCCCCAGTATAGTGACGGGGACACTATACTGTAAACAAGTGCCGTCCTTTAGATGAGACGTAAAACCGAGGTCCTGACTCTCTGTGGTCATTAAAAATCCCAGGGATTCGAAAAGAGTAGGGGTGTACTCCGGCGTCCTGGATATTTTTTCCCATTGGCCTTTATCAATCATGGCCTCCTAACAATTCCCCTCTATGAATTGGCTTCATTACTCTGCTCTCCTTCCCACTGATAGCTGATGTGTGGTGAGCATTCTGGTGCACTATGGCTGCCGTCGCATCATCCAGATGGATGCTGCACATTGGTGGTGGTGGAGGTGAGTCCCCATTACCTGTAAAGCGCTTTAGTGGAGTGTCCAGAAAAGCGCTATATAAGTGTAAGCAATTATTATTATTATTATTATTATTGCAGTGAGATAGCACCTGAGTTCAGCTTTGTTTCTGGTCTTTGTGCAGTGCCTGTCACCATTGTCATCCCTCCTCTAAAGGGTGCTCTGTCCTTTTTGTATTTTATTTTCCTTATCACGTTCACCTGCTCCTTTTCCATTTATTATTTAAACGCGGTGCTCCAGAAGCTCAGGGCTCTGCATTGGACATCCTTGGCTTGAAGGCATAGCTTTCCGATTGGTGTCCTGACCAAGCTGAGTCTGGGGCTCGGAGCGCCTGGCCTTGTCACTCCGTTTCTAACTTCCTAGTCCCAGATCCTGTTCTTGTTTTTACTCCCATCTCATCTAGGATGGATCACCCGGTTTGGGATTTTGGACTGTGGCTGGATTTCCCCCTTGGACTGTTTTGGACTTATTTGCCTGTGCTCCCCCTGTGCACCTGATCACTGTTGGCACCGCCCCCTGTTCACCATCCCTTCTATTCCTCATCGTGTTTTTCCTGTAGCCCTTCTCCAGTCACTTTTGGATTATACCGTCTGCATAGGGTCCTAAATACGCACTACACGGAAGTCAGAACTGGCTCCCGTTATAGTGCCATAACAACAGAAAATAAAGAATGTGAGGAGAGACTGTGGCCCATCTAATTTGATAAGTTTTTCAGTAACGTAACGATCCTTGGATCTCATCAGTACATTTCCTAATACAATACTTGAAAGAAACCAGAGCATTGGCTTTGATATCATGGCCAACCAGCCTGTTCCAGACATATTGCATATCCCTCCTGTTCTTGCTTTTAAAGGCCCCTCCTCTTAGTTTTCTACTGTGTATTTTAGTTTGTTTCAGTGTTGATTCTAACAAAGTTAATGGCTTTCAGGATTCTCAATACTTGATTCAGGTCCACTCATCTCCGTTCATAAGTAAAAAAAAATGCAGTTCTTTCAGCCCTGCCCCTCCTTTATCTACACCTCTCACTTTAACATAAAGGTAAGAATTAAAAAAACATTCACTGTCCTTTCACTGGTGATAAGTAAAAAAAAGAACTATAACCAACAAAAGCTGTAGAGCTGATCTTCATCTTCACACTGTGACTGGCACAATTTTGTTTTGTAGCAATGCAAAAAATTACATATTGAGAACTACTGCCACCAATACACTGTGTAATAGAAAGTGAGACGCATCTGGGCCATTGGTATTCAACATGAGTTCCAATATAAGATTTATTAGATTGTCATTTTTATAATAATAATGGAATGTGTTTTTTGTTTTTACAGCAATATGATACCCCCCCCTCCCCCATATGAGCAGCTTTGGCGAGCCATGTTAATGGAAGCCTTAGGCATGCATTATTCACAATATATTTGTGTCATGAGAAAGAAGATGCACTCTTATTACTGTACATACAGAAGCAATACAATCTTACAAGACAAATATATATATACAGTATGTTGGATACATAGAACATTAATTTGCTCTTAAAATACACCATAAACCTGAAAAGGATTGATTTTTAATAATTAAACATTTAAACATCTTTGTAGAGAGTTTTGCTTTTTAGCATTGTGTAACAGACAGAGCTGTTATTCACATTCTCAGAATTCAAAGATACACTGCAACACCTGAAACATGTTCCATGTAGCACAGATAAAGACACATGGCCACTTGTGAGCTACATACTGTAAATCAACCTTTCAAGAATTTCCAATATGGAACAGTTTAAAAAATACAGTGCCACATCGCTTATAAATGAGTTGTTAAAATATGTTTCTATTTATCAAGTGAAGTTAGTTTAACATTCTGTGAGGTTCTTCTAATAAGCTACTGTATACACATTCTGTAACATATTAAACGTAAAGTATTTGTCTCTTAAATTATTCGTTTTCCTGCTTGAAGATTGTTGTCAAATGCATTTACATAAAATACATGTTTGCAAAATTGGACCTCAGGGATTAAAAAAATGTTTTTTCCTAATGGGTAAAGGGGATCTCATAGCAGCACACCAAGGTCAAGGTTTTGTGCATTTGGTTTAAATAACCTTAACCTGTCATTCTATCACCACAATCATTTAATACAATGCTTTTATTTTAGGGATGTATCTTACAGTATATGAAAAAGTAATATACTTTAGATTATATTATCTTCTTGAGAATAATGTAAGTAAATTTGCAAAGTTAGTGTCCCAATAACCAATTCTTCTAGAAGACAAATGACTATACACATCACAGATTATATAAATTTAATTGGAATTCTTTAAACACAAAAAGGCACCATCAACATACATGCAGTTCCAAATAAAACAGATAAATGCCTAAAACACACTGTATAATGTAACAAAAAAAATGTAAAATGTATAAACCAATTCTCTATAGGAATGCATGTAAAGTGGAGGGCGAAAAGTGAAAAATAATGTATTTTTACTAGGTGAGAGATGATGGTGGCTGGAATAACACTGAGTCAAAGATCTCCCATCTGCCTGTGTATAACCAAGCAACATTCATCTCTTCATTCCTGTGTGCCACAGGTATGCACAGCAAATAGCCTGCTAGTGGCCCTGCGAAAGTGAGTGAAACTGGGAACGTTTTATGTTAAATTAAGAGATATATATTCCTGTGAAGCATTAAATTGAAAATGGGCAAATTAAGAGGGAGCAACTTGAAAACTACTGTATTCATTAATTGAATAAAATCTTATATTTATAGTGTAGTTTTCATCCAAGGTATTCTAAAGTGCTTTATACATAGGAGGGGACTCCTATACATAGGAGGCAGTCATTATCTACCAGAAGCCCAACACACAGTAGACCAAGTAGACAAGTGAAATTAAGGAGGACATATAGTATAGCTATGCCCGAATGTACAAACCTTGAGAGGACTACCAAGATTCTGGGGTTAACACTTAATCTTGTAAACAGTGCTTGGGATCTTTAATGACTAGTAGATAGAACTCTGACTTAACATGCCATTTGATAAATGGCATCTCTTATAGCTCAGTGTACTCCCTTCCCCATACTGGGAAACGTGTTTTGAAGCTTTGGTTCATAGGGAAGAGTTTCACCTAAAAAAACACCACTTATGGCAGGAACCTGCCTTTCCTAGGAGGTCTCCTACAGTATACCAGTTCTGATAAGCAGGCCCATCTTGATAATATCAGACTATAAAATGGTAGTGCTCTTATAGTATGTACAATCTTCAGAATAGCTTAGTACTGTACATCTAAGCTATTAGAACCTACCTCCCAAAGTTTGCAGGAAGATACTCCAGGAAGGCATCATTTAAAAAGAGCTGTGTTAGGTTTAGAAGCTGGGTGAAACCATCTGGTAGCCTGGAGAAAGAAAAGCAAAAAAAAATTGCAACACTATTAAAATGATGTTGTCACATACTTTTGCAGGGTTTAACGCCTTAAAATATGTTTAAATTTTAAGTCAATATATAGAACAAATACATTTAATTACAGATATTCTAATTAGGTTTTTACACCAACACAATTGCAGGTCTTTCCATAATTTGTCTGCAAACTTTTTTTAATTTTTTGTCTTTATCATGGAGCTGGAAAAATCTGTTTCAGCATCTTAAACCAAGTTTGCTTTGCGACATTTCCAGATTGCTCACCACTATTTCCTGCATGCTAGGATATCTTTTCTAAAGCCAACCTGATTGTTTTAATATCCTTCATTTACATGAACTCATTTATTTCTCAGAACTCATCTGGGAAATGGAGTCCGCCACAACATACATCTCCCCTTGCCAAAATGAAATCAATTGGCTTCGAGAACTTTCAACAATTAAATGAAAAAAACTGTGTGCTTATGGGCCAAATTAAGTATAGACATTTTAAATAAAGAAAATTAAATTAACTGAAGTTTCACTGTTCCCATAGACATGTAACATGGTATTTGCAACCTTTCAATTCATAAGTAGGTGGATTTCAAGTATTTGTACTGTACATATTCATACAATAAGTACAGATATTCATTCCTCTGTTGCAAATTAACTGTTTACTGAATAGGTTACTCCCCCTTCAAAAATGTTTCATTGAACACCATTGATTAATATGTCCTGCATGTACAGTAATGCAATAAATGTATTCTGTGTGTTGTAAATCCTTGTAAAGACTCCTGTTAATTGGTTCCTAATAGCCAAGGTAAATTCACTCAATTCACTGTTACAGCTAAACATTGTGCCAGAAAATTCACACAAACCAATACAATGGTATGCAGTATTTATGTTCATTGCCGGGTTTGATATTCTGATTTCATAAAGGCAGGTCTTCAGGAATGTTTTGACTTTAAAAATGTGTACAAACACTTCACAACAAGCCTAGATATATTTCTTCATTGTTTCATTTCACAATCAGTTGGAACAACTATTGGCTTAAGTGTGACAACCCAGATCTTGCTTGTAAGATACATGCTAATGCACATTGATGAGTTTCTTTGTAGCTAGTGTTACAGAAACTGTTTCTTGCATATATGTGTAAAGTATCATTGTACTCACTTGGTAATTGGATTGACACTGGCTTCCACAACTGTTAGACATTTACAGCATTTAATATTATCTGGGAATTCTTGAATACCTTAAAAATAAAATGTATACATTTAGAAAGATGTATTCAAACATCATTACACAAAGCAATCATTTTAGTATGTTTTTTGCAAAACATTGCACAATTTCTTGCAAAACTATTCTGACCCTTGCACCCTTCATATTTTCTTTAAAGCTTGCAGTCATGACTGTTAGAAGTAGCAATTAATGTTTGCTACATAAACAACCTATTTAACACATTCAAAGCAAAAGACATAAAAGTAATCAGATAATTAATATGAAATCATGACTGCATACAATAAGTATTCAAAATCTTTGTTGTGGCAAATCCAAATTAATTTTAAAGTTATGGATAAAGCTGAAGAAAAGCCCAAAACAGAAGGGTATAACATTTTCAAAGGCATTGAATTTCCTTATGAGCACTCTGATGTCAGCCATGAAAAAACGGAAGATGTGTCATGTGACTCGGGCAAGGCATTGTACACTGTACAATGATTAAATGTGTTATATTTAATCAATTATTAGACATTGAACACTCAATGTAATGAGAAAACGTAATGAGAAAAAGTAAAGATGACAGATGGATATACAGTACTTATCTCATACAAAGGGTCAATACTTATCATAGTACAGTACATCCATATATATATATTTATGGAGACTCAATCCAATTTAGCAGTCTACATGTTCATAACTTTTTCTATCTACATACATCCTTATGTATACAAAACAGTTGTATAAATGCATTAGGAGTAATTATGGAAACCAAACACCTACACAGATATACAGTATGTCAGAGAGGACAAGTATATGATGAAAAGTACATATGATGGAATAATGTCTTTTTGTAAAAGACATCACAAACCCAGTGATGTAATAAGATGATTGCACAACGTGATTGCTGGCCTGACAATTAGCATAGGTATTAAGAAGACCTAGTTAAGTACAATATACCGTATATGCATATATTTTAGAGCCTGAAACATACACTATGGATAACATTTGAGAAGCATTTGTAGTATTTTCAATGATTCGGCCAATGAATGCCACTCCTATCGACCGATTGCAAACTATCAATACATTTCACCTATGTACTGTGATGTACTGTGTATGTAAGAATTCTGAGGGGAATCTGTAAAACCGATACTGTTGACAAAAGAAGTGGTTACAAATAAAGCCAAAATTGATGTATAATAAGTGGTAGTCCATTAAAATGATCCTTAGGGGGTGATCTTATTGCATGTACAGTAGATGAGGCACCTAATGGTCCCAATAGATATAAACCTGTTCAGGAACATTTGCTAAGAAGAGGTTGAGATATGAAATACTGGGATGATGGAAAACGTACTGTATACAGATAAGTCAAAATCTGAAATGGCAGCAGTCAATGTGAAAGTAGACTATACTAGCATGACAGTCACTGAACAACAGCTACAGTGAAGTACAAAGGTGGATCGATAACTTGGGGATGCATCTCGGCAAGTGGTCTGAGGGATTTGCATAACATCTAAGGGACCCTGAATGCCAACATATACAAAACAGACATATTTTGATCCATCATACCATGTCCACAGGAATAAATCTTGTTGAAAAGGGAATCATCTTCAAACATGACAATAACTCAGGAATGCAGTTATTGTAGTGAAAAGTTTGTAGTGAAAATCTGTACTGTATGGATCTTTTTTCCATACATTTTGGGAGTGTCCAGAAGCGATTAATTAATAGAAGCTGTTTTATTCTTGCTTGTCCATATTGTTATTTCCTGTTCTCACTTGGTACTGTTGTTAGATAATGACTAATTTGGGCCTCTCACAGAGGCAGAAATCGTTGGGAGTGGCTGGTCTAAATGCAGCACAAAGTTGCTAGCAATGTATTTAGAGGGAATAAGGGGGCTCTCCTGGACTCATTTAATCCTGGTGTGCCTTTGTATTTTCATATGGGCCTCTCAACTGCTAGGATCCATGGTGCTGTGTAGGGAGAAGCAGAGCCTTTGGGTACTGCTGATGTTCAAAGCCTTAGCTGCATGCTCTTTGTACTTAAGGGGTAGGAATTTGAAGGGAACGGGAAATGGAGTTTTATGCTGGTGGAAATTTAAATATAAAGATTTACTTACAAAATTAACAGATGATTAAACAGTGGACCTGTCTGGAATGTAAAGATGGTTACAGAACACTCACAAAGATATTGTGGCATTCACAAAGTCCTGATATGAACATCACCAAGCCATATGGTATGACATGGATGCTGTGAGTTAAATGTGAGCCAAAACAACTTGAAAGATTAATTAATTAAAAATGTTAAAGGCACTGACATAGTTCAGCATATATAGTAGACTTCTTAAATAGGAAAATTGAGAATAGAGGACATTTATTTACACAAAGGACTGCGGGAGTCTGGAACTAGCTATCCAGCCAAGCTGTCGAAGCTGATACCATTGCTTCCGAAACAGATGGATGAGCTCCTCAGATCAATGAGCTATTAAAACCAAATGAACTAGCTGAGCTGTATGGCTACCTCTCGTCTGGACATATTGTAATGTCAAATTCTGTAAAAGCGTACGACTCACATACTAAAGATTAATATTCTGAATGATAGCATTCATTTTTCTTTCCACATTTTCTAAAAACGAATCGTGCCTATGTCTGTTCGGATATAATTTGCATTGTATGCCTGCTTTCCAATACTATACTGTAAATACAATACTATGTGTTTCACTCAATAGAACTCACACAGTGAAATAACTGTTTTGATTGGAATTCATCAGAACAGTAGAGATTTAGAAATGCATGTTCAACTATGAAAACTACACATTGTTGAAAACACAGGGTATCACTACTCCATAAAGACTGCAGATCTTACCATTTTTACTGATGTCCAGCTCTTTTAGGTTTACAAGGCTGGCTATGGTGGTAGGCAGGTTGGAGAGATCATTGTCAGGTATGCTCAGTTTCCGCAGTGCTTGACAGTTGAATAATTGCTGCAAAACAAAGTGAACAGCTCAATCACACAATCTTCAAGATGACAAATGTGAGGTCCAAACTACAGCACTTTTTCTGTATCCTATCCTTTTAAATTCCAAATATTTGAAAATCTGTGGAAAATATAGACATACATGACATTATAAGTGCATACGTAAAGATAAGACAGAGAAGAGTGTGTTGTAAAAACATCCATTTGTTACTTTCCCTACATTGAAAATCAGAATCCACATTTGCGATACTGTCTTGCTACTGACATTCTTAGTATATGTTTTGAAAACATCAGTCTCTTCTTGGGTCCTGAAGACCACTTTTAGTGTTCTACACAAAACCCAAATGCACGCCAAACATGCCACCCAGCATTAAATTATGAAGCCAATACCCTGGTTTCTTTGAAGAAACAGATGGGTGAGATTTTTCAATTCATTACCTACTAGCTACCAAACAGGCTAGATTGGTCAAATGGGCTCCTCTTATATTTGTAACCAAACTTATATTATTAAATTTCCAAAATTCAGAATGATGCATTTTCCCTGGATGCAAACATCCTATCAAGAACTTTGTGAGGTGCAAGCACTTCTTCAATAAAATTCAAAGCAAAAGTTCAGGAGAAACGACCATTAACCCTGGTACAAATTTCCTGGTCCCTGTGGCCAGATGGTTGTCCTTTTTACCAAGCCCGTTATCTTCAATTGTATTAGCCTGTATATTATGAAATAATTTTTATGCTGCCAACACTTTACATGATGACATTTTCAAAAGGACGATCGATTGAAAAGAGCTCAGAGTTTGCCTGCTTTGGTTCTGTCTCCAGAGCACCACATTCTGATAGCAACATTGCATCTTCATCTCTGTGTTCATCTTTAAGCCAACAATCAAGGGCATTTAAAAAAGACAACCTGTAGAGCTAATTGTCCATCTGGGGTACTCTTTTGAGTATTAGGGTGTAATATGATGTTAAGCCTGTCTTATTTTTCAAGTCTCCTTTGAATATAAAGGGAATTTTAATTTTGGTCCAGTAATAACCTGACAGAACTGAGATACCTTGGTATTTGTTCATTTTTGCTATTGGTTTTTTAGCAAATAAATATAATATTTAATAAAATTCATAGTTTTATACATGTAGCACAAAACCCGAAACTGCACTGCATGTTTACATGCATAAATAGAAAAATATGAAAAAAAGAGATACTTAGGAAGTCATTTGGCCTTTCTTAAAGTACATTTGGTTGTTGTAGTTTATTGAAACCTTCTCAAGATGCCCTTTGAATAATTTTAATGAATGCAGTTCACAAAATCAATTTCTGAGATCCCTTTCAGAATTTAATTACTGTTATACAGAACTGCAGTGGGTATGCTGAGGTGGTCTGATGCTTGCATGGTGGTAAGAACAGTTTTTGTCTTTTATTTGGTTTCCTGAGTAGGTCTACCGGTAAACTTGTCAGTCATGATGCTTTAACTTGGCCTGGTATTTGAGCTTTGAGAGTGTGATCTAACTGTTCACAAGATGGTGGGTGGGACTGCCCTCCACAGGGAAGCCAACTGTCTGGGGATCTCATAGTCCTGTCTTGGAAAAGCTCCAATACAGAAGTCCACTGGGTAAACTTTTCCAATTTCATTGAGATACTTCTATTGGGCTCCTAGTAGTAGTCTCTGTTCAAGACAAAGAAGGTTCAGTTCCTTCAGTCTGTCACTGTAGGACCTTCCTTTAACCCCCGAAATGAATCTTCTCTAAACTGATTCCCAATCAGCAATATGTTTTCTATAATATGATGATAGGTCTTTCTAATAGAATACAACTTTAACAAAACACCCCTTCATATAAATTCCACACTATTGACTATACGTTCCAAATCACTAAATCTTCCTAAAAAGAATATTTATAGTGAATGCACATATACTGCATATAATTAATGTATCAATACAATAGTGTCTCCAAAACCTTTATACTATACTTAATGACCACACAGGTATACTGTAGTTGTAGGACTTTTAAAGTCACCAAAGTAAGATAAAAAAAAATCTGTGCACTAAGGCATTTATAGATTATCAATTACAACGTAAAAATCTCAGATAATCAATTTTTCGTATATATATTACACAAGCTTTGTCTTTAAGACCAGGAATTTGATGTGCTTTGTTGTTTCAAGGGGGGGGGGAGATAAAATATTAAGCTCGGTGACTGAGCTGGCTCTGTGTGGGTGTTGTCATGTGCGTGCATTATGCATGGGTGCACTTATCTCAAGAGAAAAATGTGACCCCGTTTTAGAAGAAAAAAAAGAACGACGGCATAATCGTGCCTTCAATGCAAATATTTTGTTTTTTTCCAGAGTACTGCATGACACCATGTTAAATACTCTTATAAAAAGACATCTTTTAAAGGAACATGGAGAACCCAGTTTTTAATGATTAAAACATGGAAAATGCCCAATCCCCCAAGGCTGAGACTGCATTCTGGGGATTTATGGATTTGAATTGAGAGGTGCAGGACACTGCATGGGACATTTTAACCCTGCAACAGAAATAAACCTGTGTCTCTGGCTATAAATGGTACTGTATATGAAAAGGGAGGGCTGTTTTGCAGGGGGTGGGTTTTGGGGTTTAAAAATACTGCATAAAATGTCCTGAGACACTGCTTTATGATCACTCTTTATGATGTAGCACTCCACAGCCCTTTAAGAGTCAGCCACTCACAAACAGAACAGATAAGTACCATGATTGTTCATAACTCTGATACCAAGGTGGATTTTGAAATATACAAAAGGACTTTTGGTGGCATACATATATACCACTGCTTCATTGGTGCATATCCCATCTCCAACAGTACTAGTCACGAATAATACATGACAAAGGTGTTACATTTAAACAAATATTAGTTAAGGCAGATAAAGCGATATAGGACAGGCTGTGAAAACGTAATGATCTAAAATCTATAAAAATATACTGTTATAAGAACCTATTTTAGAATTTTCATCTGCAAAAAATGATTTTTTTTACATTAATGGACATATTGATCATGCTTTTAGAAGCAATAATGTCTTGCAAGCATAAAAAGGGAAGCAGTCCCACACACACCCTACCTTGGGCAGTTCCTCGATCTGATTGGCATCCAGGTAGAGCTCCTCCAGCGTGCGCTCGAAGCTGAAGATCTCTTTCGGCACCTGCTGGAGGCTGCAGTGGGAGTAGTCAAGCACGGAGATGACCTCCTCCTCACCACGGAAACAGCGGCAGGGCACCAGGCGGCCAATGATCTTCCTCTTGGTTGTCATTTCCAGACACTGCACTGAGAAAGACAAGGGGAGGAGGGCAGATCTTTAGAGCCGCACACACACCTGTGTTCTTTCATTGATGCGCAGTCTTGCCCTCGGTTGTTTGGGCATGGATATCTGCGGAGCAGACATCTTTTTTTCAGTCTACTTCAGGCCCATAAATATTTTTCCATGTGCTTGCAGTCTGTGGATGGTGCTCGAGTTACACTGATAGAAGAATCGTTTAAACTCTTTATTGGTTTGGGCTTTTCCCCTATCTTTCAGTTGAGTCAGGAAAAACACAAGAATAAATTTATATATCCATGCTAAACTGCTGTCATCACATTCTACCTTAATGGAACAAACTGAAATGCAATTACAAGTGCTGAATGACTGTAGATTACTTTTCACACCTTGTAACTGTACATACTGGATTTTCACATGGCCTTTCTAGTTATAGTCAACTGCAATTGCCTTTTTGTATTCTGTAAAAAAACATTTTTAAAAATTCAGACTTTTCACCTGCATGATTATTTGGCTAATTTCACCATCTTGGGAAAATACATACAGTAAGTAAAAAATGCAGCTCCCAGTGTACATCAAAACATCAAGCTTGCTTAATGATTCCCACGGTTTCTGCTTTTTAGGAAATGGACTCAGCTTTTTGGATTTTGCAACTTGTGTGCAGATTTATACTGTAGATACTGTTAAAAGATATGAATAGCGAATTTAAAGAAGATAATGTATCAAAAAATGGATGATAAAAGTATATTCTGATAGGTGCTAATTCTGTTTGAGGTACAGTAATTACAGACAGCATATCACTTTGCAAAAACATGTATATTCAGCATAGCATAGCTATAAATGCTGAATGTATCCCCAGAGAATGTATTCCACTGTACAATTAAGAACTTGCTGACATACAGTATACTGTACTTAACATATTTTAAGAATTATTAAAATGTTCATGCCATTGTTATTTCCAAGAATAAAAACTCAATAGACTCAGCATTATTATCAATGCAATATGACAACTTAATAATTGCCGATAAAATGCACAAAATCAACTAATCAAATGTTACTATGTGCCTAGATATTTGTGTAGAGCTAAAATCACTACATAAGGCATATAATTGAATTTATTATTGAAAAAGACAAATCTATTATATCTCTATCCAGTTATAAGAACATATTTAATTTACCAAGGAGGACTATTTTAAGCATTGATGAAGATTAAAATGCACAGTCAGATTTGCAAGATTGTAGGTTGTGAAAGAAAATGTTGCCATCTTAACAACATTATGCCGTTAATTACAGTATGTTGAATATATTCACTTTTCAGATTTTTAAAATAAAATGCTGTATTTACAGTATACTGTATGCATACAAAATACAGCGATGCTCTGAGACAGAGGAAAGCAACTGTAGTTTTCATTTGTCCTTTTAAGGTATACAGTAGCTTCAGAGACAAATGCAGGGCAGCATTTCTATTAAATCAAAATGTCCACCTCTTATGCTAATGCATACCGTAGATTACTATCATCACATTCAGTTCAGCAGCCACACCACAGTGTGCATTTTGAGGATGTACTTTAGAAACATTCTGCCCTTAGGCCCTAAGTCACAATGGGTTATCAAATTTCAGGAGGCTATATTAAAAGGGGAAAACCACTTTTCATATTGCCAGATTTATTTGTCAAATATATAAATGTTTTTAGTTTTAGTTAGTTTTTTCATGTTCATGCAGTGCCAAAACAGCGAGAAGTCATTTTGTAAGTTTTTTATATTATAAGACATGTTTAAGAATTCAACACAGTGTTAGTCCATTGCCAAGGAAACTTCATGCAAATTGCTTTCAGATCATCAATATCATATTGACAGGATGGCTATTTACTAGATTTTGCACCAGATAATCACTGAATGTAATTGTCAGCATGGTCCACTAATTAAATCCTTTAATAATTACTATAGAAAATGTCGCTGTTGTCCAGTTCTGCAGATTCCCTTTTATATTTATTTCCACAATGGCAGAAAAATCAATTTTATTTGTACATCTGTGTTTGGCTTGGCTCACCAAATGGGGATTCCTTACGACACAAGAGTGCAATAAAATGAAAAAAAAAAAATCAGAGGAGCTGTGCTTTCTCAAACTGCAAAATATATGCCAGTGACTTCTGATTCAGTTGAAATGAAATGCAAATCTAGGTCAGAGCTTTGCTTCTTTTTCCCAAATTGATGCACATAAAAATGGAGAAATACTTTTAAACCATGACATCTTATTCAGAAGAACACTAGTTCTTAATCAAGGGTAAAAATTGGGCATATTTGAAGTTCAATTAGGAATTTCTGTAGATCAAGGAAAACTGTTAAAATGAATAACTTCATTAGATTTTACTTGAAATATTATGCACAGTTTTGGTCATTATGTTATGATATTTCCACTCTGGAGACAGAACACAGTAGAACAACCAGGCATTATTCATGTCCTTAAGGAAAAGTCATAGTGAGACTAAGGGAACTGAATCTTTTATGCTTAAACCAGAGAAGACAATTTGGAGACTTGATTCAAGCACGCAAAATTCTGAAAGGCACCAAATGAGATGAACACTGAAACGGGAGACACTAATTTTGTTTATCTGGAGGATTGCTAGTCTATAACCAACCTCCAAGATATGTCCAGTACAGTAGATAAAATATATTCTCCTTTTAGAAGGGGAAAGAACATTGAGTAGGTAGGGGAGTGAATACTTATGCAATCAGCCTATTTTAGTTCTTGATCTTTCTTTGTAGTTTTTGCTGACTTCACAAGAAATATTTAAGTTGTGATAAAAATATTCACTTTTAAAAAAACACGTACATTACTTGGAATTCAACAGAATTGGACAGCATTGGAAAGGGGTGAACACTTTTGAACTGAGAAATTAACAAGATTTTGAGATCTTGGGATGACATTTGGTGACTGTTCCATAATGGGCATGTAGAGATTAAGGTATTTATTTTATGGTCATGACCTCCCTGCAGGGTGTGTGCAACTGAAGAGGTGAAATGACTTCTAGTCTACACCTCTAATGGAGGGGAGTCCCCATTACCTGTAAAAGCGCTTTGAGTGGAGTGTCCAGAAAAGCGCTATAGAAGTGTAAGCAATTATTATTATTATTACTCTCCTGCCTGCCTTGCATGGGTTGCAGAGGAGACAAGTTACTTGCAGCACCTGATTGCGATGAGAAGTCGTTTCACTTCAGGTGCTGCAGGTTATTTAAGCCCTGTTCAGTTTTTCCTCAGCAATCTGACATTGTGTTACCAGCCCCTGCCCTGCATTCCACCAGCCATTGTTTGCCAGCGGAGTTCTCCCAGCCTTCTTCCCGTTCCGCCTGAATGCTCCCTGTTTCCCATTTGATCCTGTTCCCTGCCTGGCTGGATTGTTCTCATCACCAGCCTCCATGGACCCCCGCTCAGGGAACCCGCCCTTCTCTGTGCTTGCCTCCACTGCTCCAGCCAGCTAGCTGCATGCAGCTGGCTCTCTGGCTGGTGGCAGCACTGTGTGTTGCTGGGGGTTCCATGTGGTGGCTGCTCACCATCTGCATGCGCACTTCTGTTCCCCTGGAATTGACGTCACCCTGGATTGTCCTGCAGTGGGCATGGCTCCCTGGACCCCCTTGGTGGTGAGGTCTGCTGTTGCATCGGATTCACAGTCCTTGTGTGGTGACATTGCCGGCCGAGAGTCTGGCAGCTCAGCCCTGCGTGCTGGAGCTCTGCACAGCTACTGCCTCTAGTGGGCTTCCCCTGCCTCACCAGCCTGCACTCCAGTCCTGTGGTTCTGCCTACCTGGACACCAGCCAGCCAGCTAACTGCTCGAGCATCCACCGACAGGACTCTGCTTCAGCCCGTCAGCCTCTCTGCCTGCCCCATATCCTGACCTGCCTCTGCGACTCTGGATTGGATCTGATCCTCAGTGGGTGCTGAGTGATCCACCCCAATCTCCCCCTACAGCACGGATTTGGCCTGGTCTCTGGCAAAGTCTTCCCTGAAGAGCACATGCTCTGATCAGCCCGGTGCCTGGCACACCTTCTGGTGGATAGCTCTGAGGACATGCACTGTGCTCTACCAAGCTCCAGGTGCAGACCAACCAGCCCTGCCCTGTCCCTGGTTTTCCTCCATTCACTTGTTCCTGTGAAGCAGAGTTCATTCTGGGAAGGTCAGGTCATTATCCCTTGACTTTGACACCCTTGGTCTTGGGTCTGTAACACCGCCTGGCCCACCCCCACCGTCCTGGTAGGTAGCGCAGTGTAACAATTATGAAGAAGTGTAGGGGATATACTGTACATTGAACAACTCTGCACATTGAGAGGCAGAAAGTGTGGATGTGTCAGAAGTGTCGGTTCAGTTCCAGCACTGTCATAGGGCCACATTGGCAGCCTGAGAGAACTCCTGTAATTTTCCCCTACCGTCTTGTTTTCAATGGCCACTCGTTATCAGGGCTCAGGTACTTACTCTTACTGATCCAGAACGTATAGGTAACAGCGCAGACTTTATAAGCAGAAGGAATGTTAACTGTACTCAATGGGAGAAGTTTGATTACTTGACAGCAGAAGGACAGTTTGTCAGGATAATAAAAAAAAAACTCTTCTGCTAAAGACAAATACTGCCCTGTCTTTTATTACAGGCTGCATTTTAATTAAGACCTGTGCAATGGCTCCTGACAGAGCTCAGCTGTGTTCACTCTCAGTCTGGGAGGAGTTCCATGTGCTGCCTTGTGCTTTTCAAAGACTCAGGAGTCAGAAGCTTTGCTGACTTGACTGTTGTTCCATCAGCTGCCTCGAGCCAAAACACAATAAATGTGAAATTAATCATACTCGGTGACATGGAAGAAGAAACAGGAAACACAAGAGCCGAGAGAAGAGAGAAGTGTTTTGCAGAAACTCGAAAACCCTTTCATATTGAAGAGGAGATAAGATAAAGTGGTTTATCTTCAGAAAAATAAACAGCTTAGCAATATTCATACCAGCTTTCCCTTGTCAGTTTTTTATTAATAAGA